CTGATAACTGAGTACACCATCATGTGCTTCACCTAATCCCAGCATGGATTCTCCATAGAAGACTTTTATTAGTCTAGGCACATATTGAAACACTCTTAGCAGAAAGCATTCTGTAACTTGTAACAGTAGCAAAACCCTTTTGATCCTATCCTATGTAGTACCAAAAACAGTGTTCTGTGACTTAGAATAGTAAGAATAGCAGAACCCTCATTGGTGCTATGTAGAACCATTTTTAAAAAGAACCATGTACGACAGGTTTTCCATCATAGAGCAGGACAAGTTGACCCTTAAAGAACCAGTTTTAAGGGTGTATGCCTGGAAAACTGCCTATGAATGACACAATCATCATCATTTACGTAAATAGATGGGAGGGGTCATATATACGAACAGACATAGGAAGAGAAACCAACAAATAACACTCTCCGGATATTATTGGGTGTGGCCATTCTGTAGGGTTCCCAGAGTTGAAGCTCTGTCATTTCACTAGAAGGGATCTGGGTGTTTTTAGCGCACAGTGAGCGAAAAAGGAAAGCTTTTCTCTACCTTTCTGCCAAGAGGCAGAGATCAAGTTAATCCTGCCTGGATGTAAACCAAGAGTAGTTAACCAAACAATTCTGGCAGTAAATTCTGATGAGATGCCTGAGCGATGTTTTTACAGTCTATACATAGAAAGTCATGATAAACCTTGACATTTGAGATATCTGACATGGAAAGCGTTTTTGATGGTTGATGTTGCTGAGACCCTAATTAAGCTGTTAACACACGCTTCTACAATAAACTGGCCTCTGTTTCTCATAGACATAGAGAGTGAAGATTCACTCAGCAAGGCTTAAAGCGGTGAGGGGTAGAGGATTTTGTCCACAAATATCTTTTTAATAGCTACTGTAAGACTTTTTGGTGACAGCCAAAAAACCCACAATGTGCAAACACATTACTCACTGCTACATTCGTAAAGCTCAGCATTTATTAGAGGAACTATCGTTCCGTGGAAGAAAAAGATCAAACTTCAAGGCAAATTTAGACAAAACAAAAGACAGACCTTATAACGTGAGCTGATTAAACTCAATTCAAATAATACTTAAAGAAGATCTGTTGCCATTTTCATTTTCTGAGAAAACTTAAGGTGGTTGTATGTCTGCATGATCATCTTTTGGAAAAGTCTTAGGCATCTCAGATTGTGTGATGGCCTACTGATATAATGTCTTCTCTTCTGTGAGGATAATTGATGTATCATATTCACATTTTCATGCACTTCCACTCTGCAATTAAAGTCTTCTCTTTAAGTCATATGGGAACCAAATAGGAACATAAGCCAAATGTAAACTGTCATTCTACCCAGAACAACAACTCTGTATTAGGCAATAAAGTATGCTATATAAAGCATGGCAGATTGGAATGAGGACAGTAAAGCCAATAAATGGCACACTAGTTATCTCAATTGGCTCAATTACTGCATTATGAGATATTGCCTCATTGACAAGGGGATGTTTTACTGAGTTGACACATGAATTGCTGACAGACTAGCACTGAGTGGTCTCCTGCTGCAGTGTTGGGTGGCTGGACGAGTTTAAAGTATGTGGCCTTTATTGGTGACAGGCACTCCTGTTAGCTGGCCCATTTATAACCCTGAGTAGGCTCCAGTGGTAAATGCTGGGCTTATGTGCAGTATCATGTGGGCCTGCTACAAAGAGCAAACAAAACCATTTGGGATGGCCTGGGGTGGGCATGGGTTCACATCTCACTGAGGGTTTAGCAATGAGGTCACCCGCATAGGGCTGAGAAAGAATGGAACAGTGCCGTCTGCTTGCGTGTATGAGCATGTCCTCATACACGTAGGCACACATTTTTCACCACACACATGAGTGAAAAAGAAGTGATAAGGTGATCTCTGATCTAATTTAGCATTACACTAATTTTAAACCATCATGCAGACCCATAAAGATGTATCTTCTTGTGGAACAGGGGCAATTCTGGACCTCTATGACCTAATGTGGAAGGTATGGACAATGGGTGTATAAATAGAGAGCCTTGCCTCTATAAAGATGGGAATGGAAAAGCCACTCCCAGCTCTTAATTTTAGATATCAAAAAGGTGTGTAGGGGAACCCTTTAGCTAAGAGACAGAAAGAAAATAGGTGAGGATCCAAGTGGGCAACAATATCCATCAGTGTAGAGTTCACAAATTAGCACAAAATCTAAAGTAGGCAAGTCTGGGTACAAAATTGTACAGTAAACCTGCATGTCCACCATGCTTGCTGAGCTAATCCTGGAGCAGCTGTGGAGCTGTATATAGAGCACTTATAGGTCAGTATGCAATGTGTCTAATAGGATACATTTCATTCTGTGATAATGGTATATTTACTTGGGCTGAATGTTAGAGAAGAAAACCTATTAAGCAAATTTACAGTATCATAGTCACTTGAGAAATGACAACAATGAATGTTTATGAGTGACTGGCTATTGGAAAAACACAAAAGGTTTACATCTCAGAGGTATAATTGCACTAATTCTGTAAATCTGAAGGCGCTGTGAGTACAATGGTCAATGTACAATGTTGTACTCAATGAGTGCAATGTCAGCATAGTAGAGACAAACAACTATGAGGGCACACACACATACACATGTACACTTTCCCTGTCTCCCTCTCTCACACAAAACACTTTGGGAAAAGCCCCTATGGTTTCAACAGCCCCAAATCCTAGAGCAACATTGCCACCTAGAGGGCATGTGCATTACTGCCTCCCAACCAAGCACAAACACTCAAATTGTCATTCTGTTTGGTAGGTCCACCGAAAAAACAAACAAATGAAGATGCATTTTAATATTAAGTCATGCTTGAATTACCAATTTGTTTTATATATGTTTTGTAATTACTTTGTGTAACACCACCTCTGCAACAAACCCTTTCAGTTGATCCATTAGTGTTACTTTTCTTGACTCATTAGGCCTAAATCCAAGTCGTGTACACAATTTCCGGAGCGTAATAAATTTTGTGACCCCTTAACACTTCTCAGGGTGTGGTGCTTACCCTCAACCGCCATGGGCTCATCTAAATAACTGACTAAGCATCCAAATGAAAGATAATTGACTCTTACAAAGCAAGAGGAGACTATAAAAGATGTTTAAACACATGCTGTGTGTGATTTTCACTTTAATATCATTAAAAATTAAAATCAAGGAGAACCATTAAAAACACTGCTCACATACTGGTCAAATATGCAAAGCAAAACCCCCACATCGCTGCCAAGGAAGATTTGACTAGCACGAAAATATTAATACATTGGCCCGCTGTGCAGTGTTGTTGCATAAAGACCATTTACATCTGCAGGAAATATTTTCTTTGATCTTATCACAAAAGTCAACATCTGATGTATGCAAAACAATAGTTAAATAAACCAGAGGCTTTTTGAAAACAAGTGCTATAGTAATGAATAAAATTTAAATGTAATTATTTATGTTTGGAGAAAAAAGGAGAAGTATTTCAAGTAAACAATACCTTGCCCACTGTTAAGCGTAGGAGTGGATCTGTTATGCTTTGAGGTTGCATGGCAGCCAGTGGCACAGGAAATGTTTGTGGAGACAGAAGGAAGAAGGGATCCTAGTAAGCTAGTGTACCAAAGTCAGTAAAGAAACTGAAGAAGAAAAGATAATGATCCAAAACATACAAAAAAATCCACCATGAGCTACTACTAAGATTGAGGTTTTGAAATGGCCCTCACAATCCCCTGACCTGAATATTATTAAAAATCTGTGGATAGATCTTGAACATGCAAGAAAACCTATGTATGTTTCTGAACTAGAAGCAGTCTGCAAGGAAATGTAGGGAAAAAATTCTAAATCAATAATGTAAAGACTGTTAGTTAGCTTCAAGAAACATGTAGAAGCTGAGATTTTAGCCAAAGGGGTTCTTACAAAGTATTGATCAAAGGAGGTCCAAACATTTGCACATGTCACATTTTGTTTTATTTTTTCCCATTATGTTAAATTCAGCACATAAATAATAATTGTCCATGAATACATGCATGAATATGTCATATTTAAGTTTGCTCCATGCAGAGGTGGTGTTAACTTGGGTAGACTTTTGCATAAAACTATATTTATGACAGCCTCATTATTTTTCTTTGTTGTTTCTGTGATTAATGTCATGAGGATCAACAAAGCCACCACCGTAAATATTCATTACTGCATGGTTTTGGTAGAAACTTTCTCATTAAATAAAGCAATCATTGATTAGAATGTTTGGGATGTAGTTAAGAATAATGGGCCTCATTCACCAACTGTTCTTCGGAAGAAATTTCTTCTTAAAACCCACTTATGCAGTTCTCACGAAGATTCTGATATTCACTAGTGTTCTGTTATTTGGGATTTGTTCTTAGGTAAGAACAGAATCCACACACACTCAAGAACACAAAGGTGAGAACAATTCTGCACTTTAAAAACACATCATAAATCTGCCATAGACTTTTTCTTAGGACCTTTCTCAGTAACAAAACTTGAAGATATTGGAGAATAAGGCCCAATGTTACTCAATTACCCAACCTGATAAAAATAATTAGACACCCTAAGCATAAGAAAACAAAGAGATAATCAGACACACAAAGTAAAGATGAGTTTATTGTGTTGAAATGGTTCATTCAAAGACAGGATGTGATGGAATTTTAAGTAAAGGACTGAACATGTAAGATTTTGTTGCTTGAAATATACAGAGCTGTGCTGTTTATAGAAGCAATATGTGTCCTTGCAGAACAGGATGTTTAAGGGAATTTCCTGTGTTTTTACATTCTTGACAGCACTAATGTTTAAAACATAGCTTTTGGATTGTTTCATTCAATCCTACGAATTGTTATCATTTAAAACATCAGGAACTGATATAAGTCATATACAGAACAGACTGAGACAGTAAAGCTGCTTCCACTGCTTACCAAGCAGGGTCTTGTTAGAGTCACTACGGCAGGTGCAGAATCATACTACTATGCAGTACTTTAGGGAAGATATCTTCTGTCAGTGTAGGGCATTTTTCATTCCCTGCTGATTCCTTAATGTAGTGAGGGTGGCTCCACTGAACTGGTAAGTCAGTTTTTTCCTCACTTTGATGATTTCCCCTGAGCGGATGTAGTTTCTCAGAGCGCGAGACATCTTCTGGTAGGTCATGGGCCTCCTGTTGCCTTTGCGCTGACCCCAGAGTTCTGCCACACGCTCCTTGTGTGTGGAGGAGAACCGGAAAACCCCTGCTGATGAAGGAACCCACGACACACAGTGTGCCATTCCAGGGTCCTCTAGCATCTCAAACAAGAAGTGAAAGAGGCGCAGCCTTTTCCCTGCAATCATACAAACAGACTTGTATACAAGCGTTGTGTGTGTGGGTGGGAAGGTTGTGACTTTTTTGGCAGAGGTTAAGCATTTCTCCTAAAAGAAACAATGGAAAGAGCCTCTGTGGAGAAATTATTGAGATAAAGATCCCCTGCACACTACATTACAGTCAGTCATAAGTATTTTGTGGCAATGACACACAAATGAGAGATAAGGGAGAATAGTAGATGGTGTGGTGGCAGTTATGGGCAGGACTGGCCACTCCTAAGCTATTGTTCCCAAAGGCAGTGCCTAGCTGCTCTGATATTATCTACCAAACCACAAAAGCAGAACTTACCTCTGCTTACAGGTGTAGAGCTGGGCAATGATTCAGCCCTCTGCTCAGGTTTTACATGTGGAGTTAAAGGCCTCTCTGGACAAGCAAGGGGGTTTAAAGCTGGCTCAGTACAAAGACTCTGGATTACTGACTCCCTCATTCCAGACTGCACACCTGGATCAAATCCAGTCATCTTCAGCTGGTGTCCTGCGTCCTTTATAATGAAAAACCAGTGCAATTTGAATAGTTTTAGGCAGCAGCTGGAAAGCTTTTAAGGCAATAGCATAAACATGTTGACCTTTGAGTTGAGCTGTGATGGACTTACTTTACCTGTTGAGTCTTTGGCGCAGAAAGCAGTTGTAGAGAACCCAAGTGGTTCGATGCATCACTATAACCCGCACCAACAATTTGTGCACTCTCATGGGAATCAGCTGTTGATAAAGTACAGAAATCAAATATAAGCTTGAAATATCGGTCATCTCTAATCATCTCTCTGATGCCATCAACTATCTGCCGATACTGACATGATTTCACTGTGCATCCCTATTAGTTATAGAAAAGTTACTGCACAGGAAAAAGTGATGTATTGAATTTACTGGATTCAAATACGACAATTTCCACTTGAAAAAAAAAAACAATTAATGCCAAAATTAGAAAACTGAAAGGCTAAACTGAGGTGATGTAATATGTTGTCGCTACCAGGAAAAATCATTGTATCTCCATTTTGGTTGTTTCTATTTTTTTAACTTCATTTAAAAGTGTAAGCTTTACACTGTGACACAAATGGACCAACAGAAATGGTCCGAAATCACATAGAATAAAATCTTGTTACCTCAACTTACACTGAAGTTTAATAATGTGTTTCCTTCTCTAATAAAGTTACTTGTTTGGAGATTTTCTGGAAACGTATCACGTTACATTTCTCAGTCTATGGCTACAAGCAATGCCATTACTCACTGTTTTCCCATAAGTCCCCTCGTCTAGTCTCCTGTCTCCAGTGCTCTTCAAGAAACTCCAAGATGACTTCCAAATCAGTCTGACAGGCCTGTGAGATATTCTGTCCAACAATATACAGATTTATCTTTTAGACATAAACTGAAATTCTGAGTTCATTATGTTAAGTCATGTCCAGGAACATAACACAAGCGTTTACCATACTGTTCTGCTGCTCTGTAACAGGAACAGTCCCTTGACTTCAGATGACGCAGTCACACTTTTCTGCTAATCTAAGAAAATTACCATTTATCAAGACCTTAGACACACATGCTAAATAAAACATAGATCGGGTAACTTGGTTCTAACCCTGCAGCAGTGCTAATGATCCATGGTGTTTCTGGCCGACTCTTATTAAGCTCCCTGCAGGCCACTGGACAGGCCTCCCTATCGTGATCTACAACCTATATGACAAGAGCGGTCTCTCTGAGATCGTGTATGTGCTGCACACATGCAAAGCCACAACCACCATAACAGCAGCAGCTCCTGATCTCCCTCTTACACACCTCTCTGGCTTTGTAAACATTATGTACCCCCTTGACCACATCCTCCTCCTAACTGAGCGAGATAAGGAGCCCAGCCACCGCACAATAACACCCCAGGTCTCTGATTCTTCAGCAGAAAACACCTCACAGAGTCACCAAGGTTAAAGGTGAAAACTGCCATTGTTCAGTCACACATTACCATGGTGTGGTAATAAGAGTGCACATTTATATGCATGAGTATACCTGCAGCCAAGCAATTAAAGATGAATGTGTTTAAATATGATTTTCACTCATTTTCCCTAGGTAAACCTTTATCTTCCTCTTAGATAAATGAAAAATGGGTGAGGAAGGTATGACAGAAAATATGCAATATTTTTACCATTTAAGAAATTAAGCACCCAAAGCAAACCTGTCAAGTCCTGAGCAATAGACTGTTTAACCCCTTAACATTCCAGGCGTATTACATACTAAGGCTTATTATTCCTTAACTACAGGAACTTCAATGCAAAGTAATGGAGCCATTCTTAGGTTGTAGAAGTGTATAAAAAAGTGTAATAAAACTGGACCTGATGGTGGGCCCATAGCTTGGTAAGGGGTTAAAATCAGAACAGTCAAGTAAAACATGTTAATGAAATATGATAACATTCAGTTTAATATTAATCCTATAGGAGGCTACTGTTTATTTCAGTTTTTCCAACAACTTGTACAAGTTATATATATATATATATATATATATTATATATAAACTTTTTTCCAAGTCTTTTTGGGTCGTTTCTTTTAGTCTATTCTTCATGAAATTTACACACAGGCATTTTCAAATTATGTCAAAAACTGGAAAAATTGAGATATGAGGTTTTCTTCTAACAGCAGCGATATATATATATATATGGGGAAATCATGTGATATGTGCCATTGTGAAATAAGACCAGGCAATAGCAAAGAGAAAACAAATTTATTGGATCATTCTAGATGAAAACAACACAAAAAAGAAATTTGCATGTTCTGAGTATTTACATCACTGTACTTAGAGCATTAGAGGATTACATAATACACTTTTTTAGTCAGGTTTATCTCATAGCATCAGTGGAACATAAGAAGATAACTACATAAAGCGTCATTTTTTAGTTTGGTCTATTTTATAGCGCCCAACAGTTCATATGTTACATTGTTAGGGCTACTTTTTTCAGTCTGGTTCATCTCATAGCATCAGTGGCTCCAGAGTTCATTCATAGCATTAACTGTCCCATAATAGTTTATATACAAGTGCATATAGCAAAATGGAAGGGTCCGGAATGGCTCATTCAGATGGAGCATGTGTTTTCAGACCGTTTCAGACCGTGATGTCAGTACAGAGGTGAGGTCATACTCCCCTTGGTAAGGGTACTGCCCGTACCAGCTGTGCCAGTCAGGTCCAGCTGAGCAGTAATAACCCTGGTCAGACGGGACTTGTTCTTGCGCTGAGGGCCCGGAGCTGGAAGCTGCCATGGTGCCCAGTCTCTGTAGGATCAGTGGGTTGAACTGGTAGGTGAGTTTGCGCCGCACCTTGATGATCTCCCCAGTGCGGCTGTAGTTGCGTAGGGCCCGTGCCATTTTCTGGTAAGTCATGGCCTTGCGGTTGCCCTTGCGCTGGCCCCAGCATTCAGCCAGCTTTTCTTTGTTCTTGGAGATGAAGTGGAAAGTGCCACTCCCGCGGTCTGTCCACTGGATGGAGTCACCCATGCTGGCATCATGGAGTGCTTCATGTAAGTATTCGTACAGACGGAGCTTCTTTCGGGCTGCCCAAGAAAAAAGAAGATGCAGCTGAGCTAACTTAGGCAAAAAAATGATTCTCTTTAATTTTACTTCTGAACTAGGATTGTAGCCACAGACAGTGCTGTGTAAAAGTCTCAGCCCCTCTAAGAAAATTTTATATATATATATAAATATCAGTCAAAGTGTTAGCATTTCCAAAGCTCTCCTTAAGGAAGTCCAGTATTTACAGTTACCATTCAGTACCTGTTATGGCTACTAAATAGTTACATTTTACTGTATTTATGTTAATTAATAATTAATAATACAGTAAATAATATAGCAAAATAGTGTTTTACAAGCAAAATCACTGCCTAGGTAAACAGTTTCGAATCATTTTCTTGGTTGAATGATGGGACTGAATTGTGACAGACAGGACAAACGGCTGACAAACAAAGATAAAAGAGAACTATTGCTCACTTTTTCCGATGCGTTCTGGTAGGATTGGGTAAAGTGTTGGGGACTCAGCTGTTGCCCATGGAGATGCCTCTGGCACAACATGAGACCAAGACTCAAAAAGACAATGAAGGGGAGCTCAATTATAAAACAGTTTTTAAAAAGTACCACAGCAAATATTATATTTAATAGGCCAATTTCTATGTTGCAAATATCAAGCACTGTGTACTTACTGATGCTTCACCCCAGTCACATGTGGTTCCTGGACCCCCACCGTGGGGGTTGTAACAAGAATGGTAACAAGAAGCAGGGTATGACACAGAAGAGTCCTGACTCCTCAGAGTCTCATAGTATTTAGTGTCTATATGAAAGGAAAGAGCTCATAATAACAACGACAACAACAACAATAATAATAATAATAATAATAAAATAATTTTACTATTTATTTAATTGTATTAAATATTGTAATTTGTGCTGATTTTTTGTTTTTATTTTCTATATTTTGGAATTTGTTCTTATATATTGATTATAAATCTTACTTTTTAGATCTACATTTTTTAAAAAATCAAAACCACTTGTAGCTTCAAAAGAAAAAGAAAAAGAAACATTTTTAGCTTCTTACCTGTGTCATAGTAGAATATTTCAGAGTGTCGTTGCATCACATCAATGGCATCCTGAAAGTCCTGACTAATGTCTGTATCTAGAGATCCCTGTAAAAAGTCAAAGCTTTTGCATTTTTACAAAGTATGATGAGACAATTGTCTTGAACACATTAGTTGTTCATACAGAAACAGTTTTTTAATCTCATCACTATCAAAGTACAGCACACGACCCAATTACAACAGCACGTAATGTTTTAACAGACTCACTTTTTACTTTAATGATTTACTTCACTGGCTTTAGCTCTTAATTTCTAAAACTCACCATGATGCCTGTTGAGTATGTGTCAAGGGATGGGTGTTAGAACAAGGTGTGGTTCAGCAGGTAGCAGGTAACGCTATATTCAAAGAGGTATTTAAGAGATTTCAGACGAGCAACTGATTTTTATAGTCTGCCCCAACAAATGGTGTGTAATAGGCTTGGGTCCATTTAAATGTAGGCCCATTTAAATGTGACAACGTCAAACCTCTCTTCGTGCAGCCCATTCTCTGTGGTACTTCTCTTTTTGGAAATGTAGACCAGGCAGGACTACTACAATTGCTCACACATTATCTCTAAATCTCCATCGATAAAAAAAAGCAAAGCTTCCAAGCCATTAGTTTGTTCAGGAATCGTATTTGCATTTCTGGTTAGATGCTTTAGGGCACTTGTGTTTATCACACCTGTAAAATGCTGTGCGAGCTGTCGAGCAACAACTGCTGTGATTACCTATTTCAACGCAGCAGCCCGGGAATCTCTTTAAATGATGGAAGGATATAGTACATTTTTTTAGTTGTTGAAAATTTTAATTCAACAGAGGAACATATAGCGTCACTGAGCTTCTCTAACAGACTCAAACTCCTGGACACAAGGTCAAGGTCGCCCTTTGTTGCTGCTTAAATAATATCATTGGAATGCCAAGGACCACCACACCCTGATTTTGAGTGATAATGCATATTGTTTGGTTGATGTATATAGTGTGTTCTGAATATGTTTCAATACACGTAATAATCAGCACTGTTGAAGAAATCTGCCTTCATACAGACTTATGTGCATATCACTTGTCACCATTTTACATATGGTGGATAATAAAACAATTTGTCTTTGTTTACAGTCATATACCAAAGTTTGAACATGAACAAATTATATATTTTGTTGATTTTCTCAGTGAAAATACATTAACATGTCCTCTACAGAGGACAAACTTAAATATTGTATTTCTCAATTTATTTGCTGAGTTTAACATTTTGTAAATATAAAATGAGCCATACATTTTGCACCAGCCACATTTTATGTTTTAAAACATAAAACATGTATTAAATGCAGCAAATGAACAGTAATTGTGGATTCAAATGTGCAGAAGTGTGTTCTCTGTAGAGGCCGTGTTAACTTATTTTAACATATAATGATCAACAAAACATGTAATTTGACCAGGGGTGCCTATATTTTATACGCAGCTATATGCATAAGGATTGCAGAACTACGGGAAGTCTAAAGCAGAAAGTTTAGCTGTAAGCAAGCAGAAAATGTATCTTCCCTGGAAAGTGATACGTAGTAACTTAATCATTTTTAAGATAAAGGCCTTTTTTTGTTAGTGCTTTCAGCAAACAGGCCTGCATTGGTTACATCAAATGAACAATTCCAATATTGATCCTTTAATCAGTAAAAAGAATTCAGCTGTCCTTTAAGTTAATGTGTGACTGACATTTCAGTGGCTGACGTTTTCCCTATGTAATCTAACACTTTAAGAAGATAGTGGTCAATTTATTTCAAGCTATCAATACACAAGTTTTAAATATCAACCGACTGACAGGGGAAGTTCCCCTTTCAGGTTTGCAGAGTGTAAAAGAGTAGATGAGCCGCGATAAAAGGGGCAGAGTGAGATTAGAGAAGCACGCTGAGATTACTGGCATTCAGCACCGTGACTGACAGGAACCCAGTGGACAACAGTCGGTCAGAAGAAAACAGTTATAAACTCAGAGTCAGGGACTTGTATATATAAAACGTGCTGCTATTGTAAGTTTAACCCCTTAATTGGCCAGGGCCCAAAGTTTTATTGCACCCTTCTATAACCTAAGAATAGCTCAACAACTTTGCATAGAAGTCCCTGTAGTTACTGAATAATAAGACTTAGTAAGTAATAAGTCTGGGATTTTAAGGGTCTAACTAAAGTGTGTGTGATGAATTTATGTGTGGCATATATGTGTGTGTGTGAGTGTGTAGTGTGTGTTGTTTGTGTGTAATACTGGAGGATAAAAGATTAAAGCATTTTGTGGTATTGCTTCCTGTCTGCACTCTCTGATAAAACACAGGGTTCGTGGGACATTGTAAAACTTTCTCTTTCCTCTCTGTGTGCTCCCTCACGGTCAGATGAAGCTATAAATCACTCAGCTTAGCTTAAAGCCCACAACATTATTCAATCTGCTGTCCAGATTGCTTTAGTACCATTATGAAAAATAACATTACAAGAATATTGGAAAGAGGGAGGGAAATTGTAAAGAGGGGTCATGTCTTATGAAGGATGAATTCAAAAAGCAACTCAAAAATGAATTTCCATGAACTCTTTTATTCTAGAATCACAAAAATACAAATACCTGAACCAAAAACTCCTTGCATACTGATCAGTTAGATCCTATCTAAAGTTGTAATCTTCAAAGTGTACAAATAGCCTAAGTTACTCAGTACTTTTTTTACTTCTAACTAAAATTTTATTGATATCTCTCAGTCAGGATGTAAATCTGGCGATAGCATAGCCACTGTTTCAGTTATTAGTGACATTGCTGGTTCTACTGAGAAAAAAAACTGCATTTTTGTTGATTTTGTAAGTTATTTTTTGCAGTTACTTGTATCCCTAAGTTGTAGTTAGGGTTGATGCTGGTAAAGTGGCACACTTAAGCTTGATCCTCTTTATACTTCATGAAACAAATAACCTGCTTGGCTTTTCAAAGCATAAAGCAAGCAAGACAGCTTTGGTTTCAATATTTTTCTCACAGACACCCAGATATCATTCACAAATATTTACATTTTGTCCTGTCTGTGTTTTGTGTGTCTTGGTTTGTTCTTCTGAATAGTGTAAGGGAGACTTCAAGCTCTTTATTAGGTATTAGGAATTATGTCAGATTATATGACATGAGGATCAAAGGTCATATTGTATATTGTAGTATTATGTATAATGTACCATGTAATATAACAAAGTGAATTATATTACATTGTACATTATACATAATACTACATTATACAGGCCAACTGTCACTCATAATTTGGGTGGCGTGTCCCACACCAGTTACTCTAAACCTGTTTATATATGTTGTTTTGTTTGTATTTTTATCTTGATTTTTAGGTGTTTTAGCAATTTAATTTTTTTGCTCATTTGTATTCCTCTTTCTCCCTCATTTTGGATTGCATGTTGTAATGAACTTTTTTGAAATGTTTTGAATAATTACCTGCCGCTGACATTCATTTATTTATTTATTTATATTCATTTTGTAGTTGCCTTACAGTCATATGCAAAGGTTTGAACACATCCAGTCAAATTAAGTGACTTTAAATATGGCAGTTTAATTCACATTTTTGTACACAATTCTATTCTTTTTTAGAGACATTTGGAAAAAATAACCATAAAGTGTTGCATAACTTTTGCACACGCCATTTTTGTTTTATTTTCTTCCTATTATGTTAAAAATCATCAGCTTATTTTATTATAAAAACAGAAGTTTAAAAGGCCTCCCTGAGGTGTTTTGCTGAAAGACTTCCGAGTGAATCTCGCCAACATACAGGTGTTAATAATACGCCTGGCGATGGATACTTTCATTTCAGTGGATACTTTGTTATGAGTTGTTATGAGTTGTACATTGTATATTTCCTCTGGGTTTTTCCAGAACGCTGATCTTGCATGCAAGTGTTTGCACTGAGCTCAATTTCACAATTGCTCATGTTTATCTGTGAGTGTGTATCGGTGTATAATTTGGCATGAGTGCATACATGCGCGTGTGTGGCGGTTTCATCTTGCCAAAGTATTTACATTTTCCAGGCCAAACTGTAGTGAGCATTTTATCTTCTCAAACAAAGAACCGCTTTCCTTCCCCTTCTTTGCAAGCCCTATTCAAAAGGACTATTAATACCAAAGCCAATGTGGGAAGGCCTATGTAACCACAACCATGTTCAACTTCTTTATTTACTGCCGCTTAGTGAAAACACAATAAGTTCCCAAAGTGCCTAGCGTGCCTCATGCCTGTATCAGTGAAAGGGGCTTTGGCATTAAAAAAGATACTGTATACTGCATATGGATTACTGTTTGTGGGTGAGATTATGGTGGAACTGTTGCTGTTGACACAGGGCACTGTGTTCAGCATATCTCTTTTGGGTATCTTTATTATAGCAAACATTGTTTTCCCCTTTTGAGCACTGTTTTACTTTCACCCATTTTTCAGTTGTGCTATAAGCCAGTTTAGATGTCCTTAACTAATTCCTCATCAGTGCATAACATCCAGCTACACATTCAGTTTTGATTAAGTTTTGAACTTATATCAGTTTGAAGTTCGGTTTGGGATGAGAACTAAAATATCACCATTATCTACTTATGTATTGAAAGCTGTTTCAACACGCTTTTTAATACTGAGTTTTACACCAGTTGTAGGGTAACATGCCCTTAGTTTAAGTTTTCATCTGCAACTTTGGGCAAGCGCACTCTCTAGTTAGGCAAGCAAACTCTCTAGTTTCTTGAACCAAAGTGGCCAAAATTGAAGTAAGATATAAAACTTTCTTAGATGTGTGTGGGTTTCTTTGGCTTCACTTCAGGCCTAAGAAGTTAGTATACATTGCCATTTACTTCAAAACTTCATTAAAGTTCTAAGAACAAATGCTAGTCTTGAAAAAGTTTTTTTTTTATCTTTTTTACTAATTTTATCCAACTTTTAGGCTGAAATAGTACAGTAAGCCAACACCAGATTCAGAGAAAATTAAGATTTGTTAGCTCACTAGCTAGCCAACTCAGCAGCTTCAGAACTCCAGTCACAGCATTGACCACAGCATCTCCTACACACTAAAAAGATGGCTCTTCAATGGTTCTTTAGTAAAGAAAATGGTTCCACATAGAACCATGAACACTCAAAAAAGCATTTGCATAATTAAAGGGTTGTGTTCTTCAGATTGATGGATAATGTGTTGTATATGGTTCTATATAGCACCAAAATGGTTCTGCTATTGTTATGATGTTAAGCTTGTAACAACAGAAGAACCCTTTTTTGTGCAATATAGAACCATATACAACACATTCTCCATAATTTTGAAGGACCACTGAAGCATAAAATGGTGCTTTTTAGAACTCATGATTCTAAATAGAACCACTGCCTTTACTAAAGAACCCTTGAAGAACATCTTTTTTGAGAGTGTAGGATATTTTGATATTCTTAATAGTATATCAGAGGGTAAGTAATAACATTTAGTGGAGTCTGTGTAATACACTCAAACTAAGGCTGAGTTAACATTAAAAACATTTTTAAAATGTTATAGAAGGTATTTATGCTATTCATGTGTGGTAGGGCCGCTCAATGGGGAGGACAACTAGTTAGAACACCTGCATCTCATTTGCTAGTTTGTGAATGATAACAATCATGTAGATCTGCTTCTGACTTGTACAGTATGATCATGAAATATGATTATAATATCAGAAAGGGTTATTATGTGTGTGTATGTGCTTAGTGTATGAATGTAGTGCATAAACACAGCAAAGAAACCTGAAAACATTTGTATGCAGTGCATATTTTATGAAATCAAAGCAACAAAAGAAGAGCATTTGATACAACCATAAAGCTATGGAAGGCATTCATGCATCATAAATTATTAAGGTGTGCACACACACCAAAACAGCACATAAAGTGCTCATTACAATATTGCACGTCATTCTGTATGTCATCAAAGCTATGACATGAGGTAACAGTTGGTGAAGCTGAAGAAAATGATTAGGGTAATCCTGTGACAGTCAAGTATATCTATTGCCAATATGGGTGAAAGGCTTTGGCTGTTTTCTAAAGGAAGCCACAAATACACAATCAAATCATCTGATGGCAGCCAACATTAATCTGTTGGTTTCACCACTTATATGATAAAGGACGCTGATATTTGCCAACAACATGACACATCATACTATATTCAATTACAAAAGGCAACCTTTCTTTTGCTTCCTACCAAATGCAAATTACAGTCCCTGTCCAAAAACCCCATGGTCGTTGCTGTTAAGCCTGAGGGGCTGGAAAGATTGTGTGATGGTGTAATATTACTGAAGTTACCTAGCAAGATTCCCAAACAGCAGAGAAGGTAGAGGTAATTATTGCACATTTAGGGGATTCCCCCAGTCTAAGAACCCAAAAGCTGTTTGAGAATTACGGGTAACAACGGGTGGCAGCGGCTCAGTAGGCTATGGCTCCACCTACGGAACATAGTGGAGACTGGTTCAACCTCAGTATAAGTGCAGTAGGTTAGCATAGTTTTGGAGGAGTGTAGGTTTAAGCACCCATCCTCCGACTTGCTCTTACGCCCTTGGGTAAAATCACATGAAGGAATACTCCAGCATTTTCAAGCTCATCTCTACCTGCTGCATCTGTATCGTACAGTTGATTACAATACAGACAATATCTTCTGTCCAAGAAAAGAAACTCTGTTGACTCAAAAGTGTATCTGCCCATTTGCTTCTACTATACATGTGTTTTGAGGAGACATGTTTTATGTTCTTAAGTACAGCATACCACATCAAAATGATGTGGTATGCTGCAGATGCAGCAGACAGAGATTAGGCTGAAAAAAAGCAAAGTACTCCTTGGTGTTCAAACATGGCAACCATGTCTCCTATAGCCCCCCACACCAGCATGGCAACCCTGAAAAGAGCATGAACTGCTCAGAGACCCTGCTGTGCATAAATGAATGGAAGATATAGGAATTGACATATCTATTACGCAGATCACACAACAAAAGAACGAACAAAATAAACATTTAAAGGTATAGTTTGATTGACAAGAAACAAAAAAACTGAGTTATGATTGATAAATTAAGATTTTAGTCCTGATAACTAAAAAGCCTGGCCAAGAACTGATGACACACTGGCCTCAAGCATAATCTCAAATAATGATTGGCCAAAATCGTGAAAATCTTGTTGGTATTATCTTGCCAAACACCTTTATGTTTTCTGCATTTTTCTTTAAGGGGTAATATATTCCCAGACAATGCATTTTGAAACAACTATGTGAGGCCATGCATAAAAATCTTTCAGGTTTATATACTAGCTGGCTTACTTTTTATTTATTACATATATAATAATTAAAATCTTTTTAATCAAACTATTCCTTTAACTTCATCAAGCTGAATCAGATTATGCTTTTAACACTTACACTGAAAGGCTCTAAATAACTAACTCAAGCTTTATCAACGCCACCAATTAACGGTCATGGCTATAACTGCTGAACTGCAATTGCCTACAATGATAAATGTGCATCCCTGTGTACAAAAGCTATCAGGAACATCCCAGATTTTATCCTGCACTAAAGCCCTTCATGTAAGTGTTTGTTGCAGCATTGCATTACTCTGCATAACTTTTTGAAAAATGTCACTGATACTGATCCAAATCAAAAATAGGGAGCCACAGCAAAAAATTAAGCATAAGCCTGAGTCTGGATCAGGAGCACTCTGTGTATGTGGTCACCATGTTTCCCCTGCGCTGAGTGACTGTCCTGCAGTGCTGCTGTCTTGCAGAGCCCTGAAACCCGCTGCCAGTGCTGCGCGAGTGTCCGTCAAACGAGAACATATCTGCAAACATGTCATCAAACATGCCACCGCCAAAAGAACTCTGGAAGTGTCTGCTGTGTCTTCTGTGCGTCTCCTCATGGGACTGAAAGTGGCTTTCAAAGTGCCTCTTGTGCTGGGAGTGTGGCGATTGTCCAAAAACATCGAAGTCTCTGAAAATGTCCTCAAAATTAAAACTGAATGGTTGATGGAAATGGCCGCCACCTGCTTTTGTGCCCTCTCGGCCAAAAGGGCTATTCCTCATCTGATCATACTCCTGCCTCCTTTTGCTGTCGGACAGCGTTTCGTATGCTGAGGAACAAAATGAGGTAAGAAATTAATACAAGTTAATACAAGTGTTACAAAATCAGACCATATCTCCACTGGGAAAACAAAACTAGACACAAAATCATCAGCTTAGCTTCTCTAAAATGTTTTGAGGCAGTAGATGTTAGAGGTGGACGATATGGCAAAAACATAATATTGCGATACTGCAATGTTCATGATAAACTATATGTAAAGATATTTAATTTTTCAGACATCTAATCAGTTAGAACAGAGAAAAAAGAACCAGAAGCACTACATTTTAAAAATACTATCAAAATTTATGAACACAATGTTTTTATTCTTTATTTTACATACTGTGTTGCACTAAATCCAGTTAAACAGGAGTAATTTTGCTCTCTTTATAATGAAGCAGGCAGTGTTCAGAAAAGCATATTGTACTGCCCAGCCCTACACTCTTAAAAAAAGATGGTTCTTCAGTAAAGGAAATGGTTCTATTTAGAACCATGAGTTCAATATAGAACCATTTCATGCTTAAATGGTTCTTTGCATGGTGAAATGGTTCTTCAGACTAATGGAGAATGAGCTGTGTACAATAATACATTCTCCATCAATCTGAAGAGCCATCTCACCATGCAAAGAACCATTTAAGCATGAAATGGTCCTAAATAGAACCAAATAGAACCATTTTAAGAGTGTAGCAGATACATAACAAATGCAAAAAACGTGGCTCTGGCGGTGAGTCATCGCAGATGTTGCTATTCACATAACAATGTCAGCTGGGCAGTAAACGCACCTTCAGCAATCTCCCTGAACTTTGCCTCAGCATCTGGGCTCTTGTTCTTGTCCGGATGATACTTCATGGCTAACTTGTGGAAGGCTTTCTTGATCTGGCGTTCAGAGGCGTCTCTGGGCACACCCAAGACTTCATAGTAGTCTTTCTCAGCCAGGATGAGCTCTGTGATCATCAGAACGCACACAGCTAGGGTGAACACAGACTGAGCCGTGGCCATGGCTGCTGTCAGTCCTTTAGACAGAAAGGAAACAGCGGCTGTTAACATCATTTCACAAGCGCTTGTGCAGCTGTTGCTGGGGCAACCGCTCTGACAGTTTGCTTTGACACTTTTCACAAAGTTGTGGTTTCACGGACAGACACCACTTCTACACAGAGAGAAAACAGTTTGTTGAAACTCTTCTTTAGGTTTCAATAAACTGTTTTCACAGGTACTGAAACCGTTAAGCGGTAGCCAGCAGGCTAAGTAAAAGAAGAAGAGCTTAACAACAGGAGCAAATAACGTTACGTCAGGAATCCGTAGGCCTGAAGTTGGAGATTCTTGACGTCTATCTCACAACACATTTAGCGTTTATTTACTTTAGAACTTTACAACATCTCCTTTAGCCAGTGAAGACATTTACACCGTAGTTATGTTCACACCGTTATATTAAACAAGTATTAAATAAAGGCCTTACCGAAGCGCTGGTGTGGTTGTCGGCCTCTGGCTGCATCGGACGGTTGACAGAACAGCTGATCAGTTTTTGGACGCCCAACATTGTATGTGTGACGCTGCAAAAGTTCTGTACCACGACGCGTAAAGCTATTGGTTGAATCTCAGAATGGGTGACTAGCAGCATTTTGATTGGTTCAGGCAGTGAGCGCGTGTTTTCCTTTTGCTACGCCGAGAAAATACTGGCTGTGTCTTAAACCGATCCACATTGCCCTACGTAGTGGATTGCTGGTTAACTAACGTTTATCGGTTTGTACAACGTTAACGTTAGTTTACGATGGATATGGGGCTGCACTAATAAGAACACACGCTTTCGCTTTATTTCGTGGTGGACTGTGAGTTGTTATTAGGAAGCGAGCGTTCTTTCAGGTTTTATAACAGGGCGCCTCTAAAACGGCGCAATCCCTAGTTAGTCCACTACATAGGGAATAAGGGGTCGATTTGAGACACAGCGCTGGTTCTTTCAGGACTACCGGTGTTGTCAAACTCAAAATAACACGTTTCACTCAGACTGCCCCGGTAATGTGCTGTCAAATTATGCAACAAGTGAGGGGAAATAGGTTTAAAACACAGCATAAGAATAAACGGTTATCTGTACTTCATCATGTAACGATTAGCATTAATTTAAAAAAGGTGGCTAAATATGTCAACGCATTCGTAACTGTTAACGTGAAAATAACTGAAATGCTGCTTTCTGCTGTTTTCTGGCGAGCTAAAAAAAAAAATCAGTTAATCCGCACTGAGAGTACGAGTGTCCTCTTATTATTAACCAGAACAGCCAGCCATATTCGTATAAAAATATGTTGACATGCTGTTTTGTGCTACTATTACTACTAAATCACTATTAAACGAGTCGGTTCCATAATGACTGCACTGCACACAATTGCAATTGGATGTAAAGGTTATCTAACACCGAATGCATTTTTCTGGCATAGTTAAAGTTCTCTCAGCCATTGTATACACGCAAAAAGGTTCTTGAAGGGTTCTTTAGGAAAGGTAATGGCTCTATTTAGAACCATGAGTTCTACATAGAACCGTTTACATGCTTAAATTGTCCTTTGCGTGGTGAAATGGTTCTTCAGATTAAAAGTGAATGTGTTGTATATAATTAAAAATGGTTCTATAGCACCAAAAAGGGTTCTTCTGTTGTTACGATGTCAAGCTTCTAACAATAGCAGAACCCTTTTGGTGCTGTATAGAACCATTTTCAAAAGGGTCCTATATAGAACCAAGTACAACACATTCTCCATAATTCCGAAGAACCATTCACCATGCGAAGAACCATTTAAGCATGCACATTGTCTTTACTAAAGAACCCTTGAAGAATCATCTGTTTCAGGGGTGCAGAACTCATAGTTCTAAATAGAACCATTGCTTTTATTAAAGAACCCTTGAGGAAGTATCTTTTTAAGTAAATATGTAAATAAATAATAAATGCTGCATTTTTGCCAAGAAAAACACCAAACCGAGAGAGAAATCATTGGACACAAATGTCCAGCTCATCAAGTCCTTACCTCGTCCCAGGACTGAACTGGAAGGTTCAATAGTCAGTGCACTGAAAAATGTGCCACTGGCTTAGTCAGTGACAGTGGTGATCAGGGCATATCATGCTGATCACACTGATATGGAGAACTCACTCTCAGAGACAAAGTCTATGGATGGTGACTCCAGAAGAATGTATTAATGAGCAACAACAGCATTTGGATCCTAACCCTGTAAGGACAGAACAGAAAGAGGAGCCAAAAGGCTTACACTCAGCAGGCAGCCAAACAAGACAGTCTTTGGCTTAGAGAAAGAATGTCTTGCAGACAGAACTTATGAGCTGGAGTTGGAGCTTTGTGGTGATCTACTGCACAGTTCATCCACTTGCCGTAATTACGGCACTAAAAAGGGCTTTCAAGGCACAATCATTGAGAAGGGATCAAGCTACTTGCACACTGACCTTCTTTGTCATATTACTACATCATTACAAATAGGTTCTGTCAAGTTGTTTGGATATCAGTTATTCATTTTCTGTCTACTATTAATTTGTATTATTTTTCATTAATAAACTTTTTTGAGTTACTTAGGATGGATTAAAATAATGAACAGTTTTGGCTGGTGTGCTATTGTAATTGTGTTATGTCTGTCTTGCCAGCATTTAAAAAGTATAACCACATGGTGGCACTATGACAAAATCATGCTGTAAGGCCGTGCCTGTGTATGCTTACCTTTAAAAGTTTATTTACATTTCTGCTTAATCCAGTCTTTTAGAATGTAGACAAAGTCATTCAGAGTGGACTGATGTAAATAAAGTGTTCTAGAGAAACGTACCAGCGATTTCTTTGCAGTGGTGGTGACAGGGATTTCTTTGCAGTGGTGTCTTCAAAACAAATATATACATTTTATTTGCTATCCAAAACAACAAATGATCCTACACTACTATTTTGCCCTATAACAACCTGCATGTTGCTCTCTGCCAAAGGATTTTAAAATATGCTTTAGGCCACATGTGTCAGGCTCCAATCCTTGTGGGCCACAACCGCAATTCTCCTTTAGGAACACTGAACACCTGGTACACGTATGATGCAAGCTGGGCTTTGAAAAATGTTGACTTGTTGGGGGGCCCTGAGGACTGGTTTGAGAACCACTACTTTAGTGTCTGCATAGCTTTTTAGCTTCTTTTTCTGCCAACTACAGACAACAATCATCTAACAGAAGGGTTCTGTTGTGCATGAAAGACACCATTGGAGACTGACTGCATTTGCACAGTGTTGGTTGACTTTTGGGTACAACCTACAACTCAACTCTTGTTGAATGTGAGTGGCCTATAGCTTTAAAATGCATATCGGATGCTAGTCCTGGCAGGCCAAAACCTTGTAGACTTCAGTGTTTCTTCTCATATAACAGTCTTGATTCAACGCATCAGCTAATTAACAAGGCCTCTGTGAGTTGAATTCAGATGGAAAATGTTAATCTCTGTAAAACTGTGAACCCAATTTGAAATCCTTTCCTTAATGTTTTATGTGCTCTGTGTATATTGGCCAATGTTAGCTCTAACTCAGCTGTGTTAGCTGTAACTCGTGGAATCAAAGAGGAAGTTAGTTGATATAGGAGCGTATTTATTTTCATGGTTTCATTTCAGTGAATTGTTTTATACCTAATCATAAGGCCTTCCAATCAGTCAGTGAGCTTCTATGTTATCTATGAACATTCTTCAAGAGTTCATTTTAAGCAAAGCAAACCCAGGCACTGAACCCTGAAGTTCTGTTTTAAGGTTGTCTCTGGATTTTCCTCATTTCAGAATAATGAGTTAGTGTTTTTCTTCTTTGATGCTGTTAAATTGCATCAAAATAAATACAACCCCCTTTCCAAAAAAGTTGGGACGCTGCGCAAAATGTAAAAAAAAAACAATGCAATGATGTGCAAATCATTTAAACTCAATCAAATTGTTCAATTAAACAGAGTACAAAGACAACATATCAAATGTTGAAACTGAAATTTTATTGTTTTTTGAAAAATATATGCCCATTTTGAAAAAAGTTAGGACCGGGGCATGTTTACCATTGTGTTGCATCACCTCTTCTTGTTTTGGAAATGTTTTTCCATTCTTACATAATATAGAATTTCAGCTGCTCAACAGTTCAAGGTCCTCTTTGTCATATTTTTCATTTCATAATGCGCCAAATGTTTTCATTTAGTGACAGGTCTGGACTGCAGGCAGGCCAGTTTAGCACCCGGACTCTTTTATTACAGAGCAATGCTGTTGTAATTTGTGCAAAATGTGGTTTGGCAGTGTCTTGCTGAAATAAACAAGGCCTCCCCTAAAAACAAAATATCATCTGGATGGCAGCATATGTTGCTCCAAAATCTGTATATATCATACAGCATTAATGATGCCTTCACAGATGTGAAAGTTACTCACTTTTCCACTTCACCTCAGTCCATCCTAAATGAGCTCAGGCCCAGAGAAGGTGGTGGTGTTTCTGCATCCTATTTATATATGGTTTCTTCTTTGCATGGTAGAGTTTTAACTTGCGCTTGTGGATGCAGTGATGCACTGTGTTCACAGACAATTGTTTTCAGAAGTGTTCCTGAACCCATGCAGTGATTTCCCCTACAGAATCATGTATGTTTTTAATACAGTGCCACATAAGGGCCCAAAGATTATGGCCAGTCAATATTGGTTTTCAGCCTTCACCCTAGCATACAGAGATTTCTCTGGATTCCTGGAGTCTTTCAGTGATATTATGTACCATAGAGGATGAAATCCGCAAGTTCTTTGCTATTTTATGCTGAGAAATGTTATTCTTGAATTGTTGCTCTATTTGAATGCAGTCTTTCACAGAGTGGTGAACCCCTCATTATATTTGCTTCTGAAAGACTTAAGTGATTTGCACATCATTGTATTATTGCTTACATTTTGCACAGCATCCCAACTTTTTTTGGAAAAGGGCTATATGATGTTTTTTACTAAGGTGAACATTTATCTTTGTCCTGCAAGTTGTAATGTCATTTTTGCCAGCTAAGTTCAGTCTACACCACGCCACGTAGATACTGACTGCAGCAGAAGAAATACTTGTGTTCTTGCATTTTTAGCATACCATGATGACTTGGGCCTCAGATTTGACAACTTTGGCACAATGTTGTCATTACTTTTTCAGGTCAGGAATGCACATACTTTGATTGGAGTAAAACTTTTAAGAAAACTTATGACCCAGATCTAAAGTTTGACATGTAAAACTGAGAAGGAATACTGAGGACAAATGAATGAACCAACAGAAAGGACAACTAATTTATTTATGTTGGACTGAAAATTGCCTTTCCTATTTTATGTTAAATAGCCTCAGGAGTACACATGCAGCAGTGTTCTAACTAAGATGTCCACAAGTTATTAGGTATAGACTAATAAAAAATCTGTGTTTTCTCCTGTTACACTATATGGGTTTAAACAGAGACTTTTTAGTAGTAGTGTAATTGTAAGTCATCTGTCCTGAAGAGGGCTGTGGATGTAAAAGCCCTTCACAAGCTAAGAAGAGCACGTACCATTCTTTAACATTCCAAGACTAGATTGGATTCTACATTAAATGCCAGGCAATTCAAAACAATACTAAAAAACAGCACGATAACAAAACTTAGCCCACTTTACATGTTTCTGTATAAAATTAAATATTTACCATGACAGGTTTTATTCATGGTGGTCTGTAATAACACACTTAATGGCTGTGGCTCACACATACAGCCTTCAACATTTTACCAGTTCCTCTACTCTGAACTGAGCTCCCAAACTGAGGCAAACTTTCCTCTGAGGGCTTGAAATTCACCTGATATTCTGCCTTGGGTATTCACTCTAATGCAAGAAAAGTAGGCCAAGCCCAAAATGGCAAAACATAAAGCTTTTAATAGTTTTAATAACAAATCATTAATCAGTAAATTAGCAAGAAATAGACAAGTAGTTAAAATAACTTGGTGTGGGATAGCTTTTCCCTTTGATTTCTTTAAATCTTGAAGTCTTGTAAGTAAACCTAATTTGTATTTAATGTAAGATCATCTAATGTGAGTTTGTCTTTAATGTGAGATCAAATATTATATATAGGCTTTAAATCTGGACTCTGAGAAGGCCAAATCCGTCAATAAAAACCATTAGTATTTTGGGCTTGTCCCATTTTTTACACAGGAGTGTAGATGAGATATGAATAAACATGGTTTTTGTGTGTGCTATATTTGAACCTGACAGATGAGCTATGTGCTGTAAATGAACTGGTAACGCAATAGGTATGCCTATGTTAGCCCAATTATCATTTCTATATCAGTGATTTGTTTAGGCACAAATAATGCAATACATTGGTGGCTCAGGTGGATAATAGCATCACGTCCATATCCACTATAAGGCAGTACTTTACTTACTGTAATACATCTACTACGAATATTATTCTATGATTCTGTACGTTATATATGGAAATATACAAATATATACAGGAGTCTATTCCATCATCATAATTTAATAGACAGAGTAACAGAGTACATCAATAGAATATGAATATATAAACACGTGTTTGCCTTAAAAATCACTGTAAATTACGCCAATGAAACGCCCGTCTCCAGTTTGTCTCTGCCTAGTTACTGAATGTGTGACTTCATCCAGTCACGTGATCACGGGGCGCGTTTCTATTGGCCGTTGCGGCACCGGGGAAGTTGTTTTTGTTAAGAACGAGGAAACCTCAGTGTCAGAAAGTAGGTGTGGGCTAGCGAACTAGCGGCAAATGTGATTAAAATAACTTTAAATTAAATCTAAACAAGCAAACGCGGTCTTCAATACAACTTCCATGTTGCAGGAAAACTGAAATTGGTGAGAACATCGCTTTTGTTTTTCCCTGTCGTGTAGTTAAATGGTCAGTGTTGTTGGTGCCTGTTAGTGTAACGTTAGTGTAGCTACTTCTCAGAGATATGAGTCACAGTTATCGCTATCAAATTCAGTTTCACTTGCGACTTTAACACTGAAATACGGGGAGTTGAACGTGTTGAACGAGTCCACGGTACTGCAGTTCTGTAACTGAAAAAACTGAAAAAATGCTTCTTGAATGACTTATTTTTGGTTCTTTATTGTAACAATTATATAAAGGAGCCTACTCAAAGATCATGATGTAATATACAGAGCAATAGAGTACATTAATACAATACATAGTCCATAATTTAACATACACCTTCAAACCTTATTGCTTAACACCTTATAAGTATTCCCAAGAGGCTGCTATAACACGACGACTAGTTGTGAGTCTCTGCCTCATTCATCAGTGGACAGTTTCTGACCACAGGACTATTGTTGCCCAGATATTACTTGGGAACGATTGTGGATCGTTCTCAACAGGTGACACTGACATGGTGGTAGCATGGTACACAGTGGAATGAGTATATATACACGTTCTGGGACCACAGTTGTACTGAGAACGTGTGCTACGGTGACCCTTAATATCTAACGTTAATGTACTATAACACAGTTAGAATGCACTGGCCACAGTTAGTCAGCCTAGCTATGTGAGTGTACAGTTAGAAAATGTTGGCATATGCTGTACATTTTATATTGTTCAAGATAAGATCAAACACATATGTTACTCAAAGACTTCAGGAAGCTGTGGTATGTGTCTGTGGCTTGTTTCAGGTTCACATTCTTTCCCAGTAATGCAGCAATTGTAATCAACTTTCGTTTGTTCTCTGTTTCATCTTTCAACAAGACCTGTCCCCAAGTTTAACATGCCCTTTAAAGTACCTTTAGTGACAGGTAGAGATAATCCTAGGTTATTATTCACAGACCATCTTTGATTGTGACACCTAAATAACCTGAAATGGCTCTGCTTGTCCATCTTTGTTGTGATCGTAGGGGACGTTGTGTGTGTGGAGATGGAGGCGCGGGCTCGCAGCTGTTTGCTGCGCTCCAGAGCTACTCTGGAGCAGGATATAAAGGCCTCCTACCTCATGGACCACATGATCAGTGACGGGGTCCTGACAGGGGACGAGGAGGAGAGGGTACTCAGCAAGGTCTGCCAGCTGGACACAGATACGGGTTAAACATAAACACCAACTGCCAGTCAAAGGTTACAGTACTGGTTCTTGAAACTGTCAATGATTTCCAAAGATTTAGGCACAATTTCATGTTTCTTCTAATAATGTATTTTGCATGTTAGATTTTCTGAAAATACTTCAGAAATATTCAGAAAATAAACCCTTCAATTAAGTGTATTAAACTTTTGACTGGTAGTGTATAATAGACTGGTAGTGTATAACAGTAAATATATATATATATATATATATATATTTTAGAATATGCCATTTTGTCTTATCAGAATGGCTAATCACAGGCTTTTATAGTAAACAGGTAGAGGAAGCTCTGAGGAAGCTTAGTTGTACAAACATGTAAGGCTGTTTATGGCCCTGTACACGTTTCTGCTTTTCTTCCTCTCTCTCCAGCCCACCAGAAGGGAACAGGCAGCGGCACTACTAGAGGTCCTCCTGAGGAAAGACAACAGAGCCTACATCTCCTTCTACAATGCCCTTATCAGAGAGAGCTATGGAGACCTGGCCAGTCTGCTTCACAATGACCTGCCACAGCTTAGCCCTGAGGGTGAAAAGAGCTACTCCAATGGAATCTCTCCCACTGGTAAACTCCAGATGTCTGCTGCTTCTTTCATATTAAAACAGCAGTATTAATTTGACTATTGAATGCTTCAGTAGTATATATTCACTGTTTAGCTTGTCACTCCACCTTGCTGATGTACAATTAGACACTGTAGCTTGTATATTGTCAGGTAGTTTGTGTTAGTCAGGGGTGGACAGTATAAAGTACACTTACTCAAGTACTGTACTTAGGTACATTTCTTTGAGTGTCTACTTTACTTGAGTCATTTTTTTTGGAAACTTGGACTTTTTGAGATTGTTCTCCACTGCATTTCTATGAAGGTTCTTGTTACACATTGCTATGAAGCATTGCTTTGAAGTCAGCAGACAAATTTTCTTATCTAAAATGCGTTAGGCCATATTGTGTTTGTCACAGGATAAAAAACAATCACTATAAACTACTACTAAGCTGTCAATCAAGTTCGAAGTGTATAATTTTGACCAGTTGAACTTGCCGGTTGTAATGATGGCTACTACTACAGCAGATAACTTTGATAACGATAAAGATAAGATTTCTTTACCAGAGCACCCATTTCATGTTTGAAATAAAGAAAGATTCATATCGTTTTTTAATTATGTTTGCTCTAGGCATTTAAATAGTAATCATTTCAAACAAAGTTGTCTGTAGTGCTTGTAGTAGTTGCAGTTTTTATGCTATGGTTGTTCAAGTGACTTTTTATGGATTTTTATGGATTTGCCCACCAAGTTGTTATAATGGGCCCAGTGTACTGTTGCTCACTACTCGCTTATACAATCATATCATATCATCAGAGGCAGACCACAACCGTTGCTGTTAACACAGCATGTGAACGTTTATAGGAACCAGTTAGCTTGGAAACCAGTTGGGACATAACACTGGGTCCTGTGTGAATCCACTGTTTATGCATACTAATTTTTAGGCTTTTTTTTTTAGCATTTTATTGTACAGGTTCTACAAGCAATGTATTCAGTAGATTGTTTCAGAGTCATTAGGTTCTGTAAATGCATTGTGGCAACAATATAACAATGCATTGACAAAAAATGTACTTTTGAGTGCTTAGGTGTTTTAAAAACCAAGTACTCCAGTGCTCTCACGCATCAAGTAGCATATTCATAACCATCTCATGTTGATAACGTTTTATAAGGGACCTTTTAGAGGCATTAAACACTTCAGACACCTCGTTCCTATCGCCACCACAAAAATTCAGATTCTGTTTTTCTCTACAACAAAGCAATTCACATCACACTACTCTGAATAACTTTGTTTACATTTTGAAAAAAATGGCAAAATTCTCCTTTAAATGAACTTTCATTTCATTTCATTTTTCATTTCACTTAGAATGAATTTTAACTCAATAAATGACTCTACAAAGTTTGAGTATGCTTTAGTTACTAAGGAATATGCTGATGTGCCAACATTTATGAAGATGCTCTTTCTAACTAAGGAGGGCAACAAACATTTAACCCTTTCCTTTAGTGAATTAGCATCCCATACAGTAGCTTTAAAATGAAAAAAAAATGTTTGCTAGGGTATTATTATTTGCTGAGGTTATATCTGATGTCTCTGTGCTCTAATAATTTCAGTGCATGCTATTCTGAGTGAAGGCGGTGTGCCCCAGAGGCCTGTGGTTTTCGTGAACCGCCCTACTCTGCTTAACAAGGTCCAGGAGAAGCTGTACAAGCTTCAGAACGTGGTGGGCTGGGTCACTGTGTTTGGCATGGCTGGTTCAGGGAAGTCTGTGCTGGCTGCGGAGGCAGTGAGAGACCACGCTTTAATCAAAGGTATGGTGTAGAATTTAAGACAATAAATAGCATATGTACTATATAACTATATAAATATGTGATGTTTCTTTAGCCACTGAAATATTACATCAAATGTTATCACATCTAATAAACTGCCTCCTGGACTGGAAAACCCAAATGAGGAAATTATATTTTAAAAAAAAGGTATTGTTACTTAATGCAGACAGACAAATTAAAACATGTTTTAATGGAGTGCTCACTTTACTTTTGTCACTGTAAATCAGATATAGAATTGATAAAGTATCACAATGTTACAGCCTTTTATCATGATACTGCACCAAAACATAAACAAACTGTACAAAAAATATACAAACCATCATGAGATTTCCAATTAATTTATAAAGTTTTTAATTATGAACATGCACTACTAGTATCATTATATACCAGTTTTTTAAACTTTATATGTAGCCTTTGTTTAACCAAAAACCACCACTATGTTAATGGTTCTTTCCACTGATGCTCCTAAAGTATTTGCAGTGCCTCGTGTTACCCACTACTTAGTACTCCCCCAATCACACTATACCACCAAACACAAGTTTCCTCTTCCACTAATAGCAGTTTTACAGTAAACACTTTTGAAACTTGTAAGACATTCAAGTAACTTTTTTTATTTAGTTTGTTGCAGCTTTATGTTGATAATTATCATCACATGATTTATGATCCTTCAGAAAAAAATTCAGGTTAAAGCCTCACTTTGCATAATGTGGAAGGAAATGGAAGATACAGTCAAATGCAAAAGTTTGAACACCTATGGTCAAGTTACATGTTTTGTTGATTTTCTAAGTAGAAATAAGTTACACATCCTCTACAGAGGACCCACTTCTGCACATTTTAATGCACACTTACTGTTCATTTACCGAATTTAACATACCTGACGCAGGTTGTTGTTTAGTTTTGTTTAGTCCCTACTGTAATTCATATAATATCAGTGAAGAGATGTTAACTAATTAATTCATTGAAGGATATGTATATTTATAGGCTTGGTAGTAATGGATCTCTCTCTCTCCCGTGTCTCTCTTTCATGTCTGAAGAGTGCTTTCCTGATGGCGTTCATTGGCTGTCTGTGGGGCAGTGTGAGAGAGCAGATCTGCTGGTGAGAATGCAGTCTCTGTGTTTTAGGTTGGAGCAGAGGCAAATTTCAGATTCGCCCCTGAGGCCCCCCAGTTCTGTCGAGGAGGCCAAAGAGCGCCTGCGCTTCCTCATGCTCCGCGGGTTTCCCAGGTAATCCAGACACCACTCACATCGAACATTATGAACGAAAGATCAGAAACTCTGAGCATCTTAGAGTAAGAGAACCTTACTAGAGTTTCTAATGGAAAGAAAAGAAAAGTAAATTAAGGTGTAATAACAAAGTCATGAGTATGTGATAAAGTGAAGTGTGATTAGGATTGAACAAACAAACAAACATAAAAGTTAAGTTGAAGGTTGAAAAAGAAAGAACAATAAAAAATACACTGAGATGGTGAAAACAGAAAACAATTTAACCGATAAGAAAGAAGCACTGATAGACAACTCCCTCTGCTATTTTTTATTTTGTTTTGATTTAATTAAGAATTTTCCAAGTCATACCATGATTACCCAGTTCCTCTAAAGGCAAGTCATAGAAGAAGTTAAATAAATTAAACACTCAGCCTACTGATGTGCATAATCCGGCAGTGACGATGTATCCATTATTGAAAGAACTTAAGTTGAAGAAACTAGTATGTGGCACAGGCTGCAGAAATTTTAAATGCTGAGGTGGAACCTACATTACACTCTTAAAAACCATGGTTCCTCAAGGTTCTTCAGTAAAGACAATAGTACTATAAAGAACCATGAACACTCAAAGAATATTTACATGCTTTACTAGTGTACTTTGCATTGTGAAAAGATTCTTCAGATTGATGGAGAATGTGTTGTATATGGTTTGATATAGAACCTTTTTAAAAACGGACCACCAAAGAGTGTTCTCCTATTGTTACAATGTCAAGCTTGTAACAATAGAAGAGCCCCTTTATTTCAGAGCTCTGAACTCTCATGGCAAAAAACAACAGTTTATCAGCTCTGCCCTATGGGTAGAGCTGGGCGATATGGCCAAAAATGTTGTCACGATAAACAAAATTCATATCGTTCGATATCGATACATACCGCGATAAATGTCAAATCATTATTTCTTTCAAGTTTGAAGGCTGATTTCTGCTCCTGGGTGGTTAACTGCTGTTTTAAACTATCCTTTATGGTCGGAACACAACAAACACTCAAACAGTGGAACATTTCACAGATCTGTCATGGGAGAGTGGGAGAAAGTGTGTGGTGAGCTGTTTTTACCAGCTGGAAAAGCATGGCTATTTTGTAATAGTCATAATTTAAGAAAGAAAACAGATTATTTTAGCTGGTGCCGAGCGCTCGGCTACCCCGCTACAAACGACATCACAGTATTCAGACAGCAGAAGCGACGACTGGATATTCAATTGTAGTAGTTTAAGTGGTGAACCGCAAAATATCAACACCAGACAAACGGAGTCCTCCTTTTAGGTACGTTTAAACTGAAAGCAGTGCTTTTGTGTCGTGTTTGATCTACAGTATCATCAGTTCTCTGTGTTGTGCCGGAGCGCCGGAGCGCTGCTTCAAGTTAGCCAGCTAGCCTGGAAAGCTAGCGCTCTCCCGCTCTCCAATGCCTCACAGCTTCCTCAGTTTACTTTCGTTTAAATCAGGGCTGTAATTTACATGAACCCACTTCTCTCTTTCACTTTCATTGCTTGGGAATGCACTAATACTAAATTATGACTGTCCGAGCGCTGCAACAGCGCTGTAGTTGTGAGGATTGTGATTGTGATTTAACGCTGCTAAAGCTTGTTAGGATGTACAGAAAGAGGTGAGTTCGCTGTAGGTCAGTACAGTTACACCACTGACCTCGTCACTCACACTCGGTCACAGGAGAACAGATTGTCGGTCGCTCCGCTCAAACAGGGAATGTAAAACTCTGTGTTTCAGCCGTTGCTAAAGACTCATCTTACTCGTGTCCCCCTCCCTCTCTAATCATGTAGAAAAACTCGGAAGTGCGCCCTCTCCTGGCGACCGCACAGTAATGTCGCTTTCCTTGCAGTAGAAAATGCCACCAAGGCTTTCGCTGAACGTGGAAGTGTGAGAATGGTGTATTATATCGAACATTTATCGAACATGTCGTATCGCTCTATCGAGGAAAAGTTATATCACGATGATTATCGTTATCGTTTTATCGCCCAGCCCTACCTACGGGGCTAAAGTTCGTTTAGCCTCATTCCTTTTTGCTAACCATGTTTCTTCTTGTGTCCCAGGGCTCTCCTGATTCTGGATGATGTGTGGGACAGCTACACTCTCAGGGCTTTTGATATCCAGTGTCGAGTCCTCTTGACCACTCGTAACCGGAGTCTGACTGACTGTGTGAGTGGTAGGTATCTGTCTAGCTATTGCCTGTGGGCTGACTGAATCAGTGAAGCTAGTTTAGAGGCCTAGGTAAAACCTATTGTCCACTCTTTCCATTTAATGTTGTGATTTTTCATTGATGACGTAACATGTTTTTTAATATGTAAAGATTGTGATTTTACAAAGGCAGAATATTTTTATTTTTATTTTTTGTCACAAACTAGCATTTTGAACAAGCAAACATATGAACAGGAAAAAAAATGGACACTTCAGTCATCCTTTATTGTTACTCTGACAAATCAATAACAAGCCCTTTAGAAAGCCCTTAGTGATCAGGGGCCATATTATAGAAGCTTCTTAACTCTCGAATCTTAGCCATGACAACTTCACTTGGGACAGAAGCTATTACAAAACAACTGTTCATGAGTTCATAATCTTATCCTAACTCCAGATAACGTTATTACAGAAACATCCTAACTAGAGTAAGTTTCCTAAATTCTGTCCTAACTTCAAGACAACCCCAGAGCAGTCTAAACTGTTTTAACTGTCTGTTTCTATTGTTTTATGCTGTGACAGGTGCCATTCACTATATGCTATTTCACTGTAACTAGCATAATTTTTAAAAGCCTCAGGCACTGTAGACACGATCTCCACCAGCCCCTCATATAATCTTTATGTGTTAATGTTGATGAAAACTCATCAGGTAAAATATTACAGTGATGGTGGTGAATAATGAGGAGACAGAGCTGAAAGTGTGTCTGTTTATTAGGTTGAACAAGGTTAGCGCGGTTGGCTAAAGCGTTTGGGAAACTGAAACGGAAACTGTGGAGCGGCGACACTGATAAACAGTACAAAGCGCTGTCACAATATTCTTAACTCTTAGTTTATTGCGCTTTAGTTTTGTTTGACCTTTTATACATCAGTAATGGTAGCTAACATTAGCTGTCTTGATTATTTTGATATCTTGTTTACATTTCAGCTGTGGGCGTATCATCGGTTGCTCGGTAACAGACAGTTAATTGTCGACTTCAATGAAGTAGTTTAAGACTTCCTAACTTGAGATAGGATGCTGTAAGATAAGATTCCTAAATTAAGTTAAGATTTCCTTCTGTAATACACATTTGCAAAAAATCTTATGTTGACCTGTCAGATCTTAGGTTAAGACGAAAAGATATTGATGTGAGTATAGGGTTAAAATATATCCTGTTCTCCTAGTTTTATAGAGTAGCACTACAGGTTACAGAGCAGATATTCTTCTTTTTAATTTGAGGATGTAGCTTTAATTGTGTGTGCATGTGTGTGTGTTTGCAGGTCAGAGGTTCAGTGTGCCTGTTGAGAGTGGTCTGGATGAAGAGAAAGCTTTGGAAATTCTTGCACTATATGTAAACCAGAAGCTTCACAATCTTCCAGAACAGGCCCGCAGCATTGTAAAAGAATGCAAAGGTACCACATCAAAATAAATGTATAAAGCCCTCATACATAGTGATACAGTAATGACTCCATGATTTTTCAGAATGCTTTTTCAGTGCAGTATTCAAAAAAGGAGCCCTATTTCAACTACAGCAGTGTTATCTGTTTCATCTCAACATATTGTATATTCATTGTTAAACATACAGTTAGATGCTTGCATCACAGCTTTTCCTTTCCAAGGCAAAAGCAGTATATTCCTGACTTTAGCCAAGAAGTCCAGAGATGGAGTGCATCTCTGCAATGTTTGCAATACCTTGGACCCATGCACACTGTGCTTTTAAAGCAGATAAGAGGGACAAATTTGGTTGGATGTTGAGGATGAGAGGGGATAATTTGATTGGATATTGAGAATAAGAGGGGTTCGTTTGATTGGATATTGAGAATGAGAGGGGATCATTTGATTGGATATTGAGAATGAGAAGGGTTTGTTTGATTGGATACTGAGAATGAAAGGGGATCATTTGGATATTGTTGTAAGCATGCTTGATTTTTAAAGGGGATGAGAGAAGTTTATTATCCCTACAGCTGCTGTACTCTGCGCCAGATTAGTGCCTACACTGACTGACACGAAATGACAATTGTCCATTTTATCAGCTCCACTTACTATAGAGGTTCTACAATTACAGACTATATATCTGTTTCTCTGCATACTTTGTTAGCCCCCTTTTACCCTGTTCTTCAGTGGTCAGGACCCCCATGGACCCTTACAGAGCACTATTTGGATAGTGGATCATTCTCAGCACTGCAGTAACACTGACGTGGGGGTGGTGTGTTAGTGTGTGTTGCGCTGGTCTGAGTGGATTAGACACAGCAGTGCTGGAGGAGTTTTTGAACACTGTGTCCACTCACTGTCCACTCTACTAGACTCTCCTACCTTGTCAGTCCACCTTGTAGATGTAAAGTCAGAGACAACAGCTCATCTGCTGCTGCACAGTTTGTGTTGGTCATCCTCTAGTCCTTCATCAGTGGTCGCAGGACACTGCCCACAGGACGCTGTTGGCTCGATATTTTTGGTTGGTGGACTATTCTCAGTCCAGCAGTGACACTGAGGTGTTTAAAAACTCCAGCAGCACTGCTGTATCTGATCCACTCAGACCAGCGCAACACACACTAACACATCACCACCACGTCAGTGTTACTGCAGTGCTGAGAATGATCCACCACCCAAAAGGTGCCTGCTCTGTGAGGGTCCATGGGGGTCCTGACCATTGAAGAACAGGGTAAAAGGGGGCTAACAGAGTATGCAGAGAAACAGATGGACTACAGTCTGTAACTGTAGAACTACAAAGTGCACCTATAAAACAAGTGGAGCTGATAAAATGGACAATGAGCATAGAAACAAGGAGGTGGTCAAAATGTTATGCCTGATCGGTTTATATCCAATGTATTGTTTAGCCCAAATATTGTTGATAATCAAAGACAGGCTTTTAGGGCATTTTTGCACCAGACACATCAAGCTGGCTAATATTAATATAGCTAACAAGAATTGAAAGCCAAAACTATTCAAAATCTAGTGAAAGATACATTTGTTTGTTTTCTTGTCACAGGCTCTCCTCTGGTGGTATCTTTGATTGGTGCACTGTTAAGAGAGTTTCCTGAGCGCTGGGGCTACTACCTGCGGCAGCTGCAGAAGAAGCAGTTCCAGCGGATACGCAAGTCTTCCTCATATGACTACGAAGCTCTGGATCAGGCCATGGATGCCAGTCTGCAGGTCCTGAAAGAAGAACACCGCGAACTCTACAAAGACCTGAGTGTACTAGAGAAAGACGTCAAAGTGCCTGCCAAGGTCAGCCAGCGGGGCAGAATCCATTCTGCTCAGTTCTTTGCTCCTTTGTTCTCGTTAGAGGAGATCTTTTTTTAGCCAAAAGAACAAAATGACCCTCTTCTTTGAGGAGCAGCGAAGAGTGAAAGACATTGCGCTATAAACATCAGCCCAGTCTCTGAGTAAAATGCAGTGATTAAAGGAATCAAAAGGATTTTAGTTAAATGAGTTTGCAGTTAACCAACACAGCACAATATGTTTATTGCCATCTAATTTAGAACCAAACATGTTTTTTCTAAAGTTGGTTTGCATTGCCCTAATTCTAATGTACAGGAAAAGCTTTCACATTCTTTGTTGATAACAGTTCTTTACATTCACCTGTTTTTAATTATTTACAAATTCCTAGTTTGACACAGCTGATAAAGTTCAGGAGCATCTGTTTGTGAAAATCGGGGGGGAAAAGCAGCTCTGTGAATGTATGTGCTCATGGTTGGCTGTGTCTCCTGTGTCTGCAGGTGCTGTCTGTGCTGTGGGGCAAAGAGCTGGAGGACGTGGAGGATGTCCTGCAGGAGTTTGTGAATAAGTCTCTGCTGTTTCGGGACTGTAACCAGCGGCCGTATCTCTACTACCTCCACGACTTACAGCTCGACTTCCTCACCGAGCAAAACCGCAGTCAGCTAGCAGTGAGTGTCGTGCACTATCATACTCTTTGGGCCTTTAGAATAATGCTTATTGGTTTGGAATTAAAGTTTTTGATGATAATAGTTAAAAACAGTATGTTTGCGAATTATTGTATAAAATAATAATTCTAATGTGTAACTCTTGTACAATTTTACAGATTTCAAACAAAGTAGCAGAGAGTTATGAGGCTGTAAAAATGTACAGAGCTGCAGATGAATATCAAATGACTGAGAAAGCTGTATAGCATCAGGAATGAAGGTTGTAGTCATTTCAAATGCAGTGGTCGAATTCAGGGTCAAATGACAAAACTTCATTGTAAACAAATAATTCCAATTGTTTTGTTTATTTAATAACTTAAAAACACTTTAAAAAAATCAAACAAACAATCTCAAAATATTTTGGTGTTCTCAGTCATCTACAATAATGCATAATGCACTACTGCATGATTCATAATTCGTTATGTTGTAGGAATTAAATAAGTTAAATTATACATATTTACTTAAGTTATAATAAATAATTCCAATTTGAGAGTCTCATATGCTGAGTCATTTTGATACCTTTTCCAATATCATACTGTTGTTTTTCTGTCGTTATTGAGGCTATTCCTCTATTCAGATTTGTATGCTTTAATTATTTGCATCCAGTTAGTATAAATTAGCGTTAAACTCGTCAGTAGAGGAGCATATCAGAGTGCGGTGTGAAAGCGAGATGTGCTGCAGGCATTTTGTTCTCATTGCGTGGAATGACAAGCAGCTGTGTTGAACTGCTGTGTCATTTTGCTTTAGAGATCACCTTGCGACTTAATGTGTATTTGAAAAGCACTCGCTTCATTGCACAGGATTTTGAACAGGGAGAAATGTTTCCTGACAATCCATCTGCTTAATGGTAGCCTAAGTTCTCTTTGTTACTTAAATTTCCCACAGGAGCTGCACAGTAAAGTGATCCGGCAGTATCAGCAGGCGTACAGCAAAAGTCTACCCACTTCGGCGGATGTGGCGTCCTTATACTGGTACAGATTTCTTCCACATCACATGGCCCGAGCCGGTCTGTCCAAGGTAACTTTTAGAATGCCTTCTAAATGCCCATCAAAGCTGTGGGCATATGTTGCTCTTGAATGTTTTGGAATATTGTTAGATTTTCACTGTTACTTTTCAGTTAAGGAAGGAAATTACAGTATCTGTTATGGTTTTTCAAGCAACAGATGTTTTCTGCTTCACTCAGTTTCATGTTTGTCTTTGGTCTGAAGTAGCATTTGCCTAAATAATGATTTGACATTTTCCATCCCCAAACTATTGTTAAAAGCACATATTGAAAATCTAGTTGAAAGGTTTGAGTACTGATATCACAAAAGGATAAAATGTGTGGGGTTGGCATTATTCATGAAATATCCCTTTGGTTAATTGTTGCTGCAGTTTTAGTGGAGAAATGACACAGTCACAAACATGCGCACTAGTGATTAAAACCTTTTTGGAAAGCTGAGTGTCTTCAAGCTTTTGACCAATGTTTTTATGTTGCACAGTTAAGCAAATGCATGGCAAGTCATTATGTCAACAAGTTAGTAGGTAATTATCTCTGTGAAGCTTTTTCTCTACTTCTCCCTTTGAATCTCTCCCTCCTCTCCTCTCAGGAGCTATATTCTCTGATGTTTTCACTGGACTGGGTGAAAAATAAGGCTCAGATAATGGGATCTGCCCACTTAATCAATGACTACGTGGAGTATGGTGCAATTCTCGACCAAGAGGTATACAGCTTCTAAATGTGTGCTGTTCTTATGTAGCACTGATTTTTGATGTAATGAAATGGTGCACCCTCAACAAAAAAAAATTAGTATGACTTCATTTTAAAGCCCCAGGGAACCTAAATCTGTTAATCAAATGTGTTGATTAACCTTGGTCTTGTGGGCACATAAGATATTATTGTCCAAAGTGTGTCCTTTTTCAATGACCACTAAATGGCTGATTGTTGTTGCTAAAATTCCCCTGTTTCAGTGTAAATTTGGTGGTTCTAATCTTGGGCAGCTTTAACAAAACTGTGGTCTCCTACAGTCTTTTTCTCTCTGTTTGAGTCAGAGAATCTCACCAACAGAAAGCTAACCTAGCAGACAGAACAGCTGGCAAACTAGCTCCTTTGTCTGTCTATCAACTGTCTGTCTGTCATGTCTAGCAGTAAAATGAATAAGAACTTTACCATCGCTAAAATGTTGCCATGTAAAAGCCGACTATCGTGTTAATGAGTCATGGACACAGTGGTAGTAGGTTGTAGCACGACCTGCACTTGTAAAGCTCATTTCGTTCATTTCTCCTCGCTCGCTGTTGTGTTTACTTCTACTTCAGTAGTGTAGCAGGCTGAGAGTGTTAATCATGTGTGTTCATCAGGATATTAGGACCACACCCACACAGTTCTCAGACAGGTCTGATAAGAGATTTTTAAGCTGTTTTTTCGTTTTCAGTTCACAGTTTGCTAGATTTTAATACAACACTCAATTTTAGTATCATACAAATATTTTAAATGTTTTTCACTGTGTTCTATGAAAGAGTTGAGCCTCAAAGAATGATAATTTGTTTTTCAGCCTGCATGGAGGAAAGATATATGTACACATATTTGCTCATATTAAAAATATATACGCAACATATGTGCAATATTATAAGTTTTAAAATATATGTGCTGAATTGTACTATTTAAATGTATGCCAATATATACACATATGTCATCATATTAACATATATTATAAACATATGTAGGTGAAATATATAAAATAGCATTCATTTTTAATATTCACTTGTATGCCAAACATACAGTATATGGAAATTTATAACTTTTTGAAGAATGTATGGAAAAATGTTTCCTTTGCATGCAAGGCTTTTCTGAAAAAAATGGACAAAGGAGGGGAGCCTGAGTTTGCTGGCAGCCTGAGGTGTGCATTTTAAGATTAAGACAGTTCTTTCTGTGCTCCACTCTCTAGAACAGTGAAGTGAGGCTACAGTTTCAGGAGTTTCTGTCACTGAACGGTCATCAGCTGGAGCAGAGGCCCTTCCCTGATGTGGTGCAGCTGGCCCTCTCTCAGCCCCACGGCTCGGAAGTGTATAGGCAGGCCTTACTGCAGGCGAAGGAAAGGGCTAACAGGGGGCAGCTCTACCTGGAATGGGTGTATGTTGTTTAATGCTCATTCTGTCATATTCTCTCCCAGATGAGTTAGCACTAAGTCTCATTAAACATGACATATGTACTAGTAGAGCAAGAACAGCAGTTGGAGGCATTCATACCTATTAGGGGTTTAAAAACCTTTAGTGTATCGTGATGTGTTAAACCGAAGGTGCTGATTCAACTGCATCACCCTTTGGTAGTTTAGAATCTATTATAAACAATTCTTATATATTTAAAAATAGTGCATTTATGCTTTGGCCAAAATAAAATGATCATTTTCAATTTCAAATTTTCAATTTTCAAACATAAACTCCAAAAAGCTTGTTTTTTTTGTCTATACTCTGCTGTTTAAATACTTCGTCTAGTCACATTTGTATATTCCATGTATTTTTAAAGAATTGTAATCAAGCAGAATCACTTTAAGCCCAGAGATTTACACTCCTGACACTTACATAATTGTAACGAGCAGGTTTAATATACTGTGTATATTTTATGGACACTGTACCAAAAAAAAACAACAAAACAAAAAAAAAAATCTCCCTTTTTTTTTTCGATTTTTGTGTTTTTCTACAGCATTTGAACACAGTAGTTGCCTTTTACGTTGAATATTTCATGATGAATGGATTGATAGAAATGCTCCAAAATTACTTGAAGTAATCCCTCATTGTCTTATATTGAAAGTATTTTGCCTTCTCCTGTAAAGTTCTAACATTTTGGAAATTCCTACAGTGACAATAAGCTTGTTAGATTTGGAAGGTGAATTGGATTATAAACTTTGTGTTTATTCATTTGCATGTTCTTTATTAATGTCATTTATTATTGTGTTGGGTTTGTTGGCTGCAGGAACAAGAGTAATCTGGAGAGTCTGTCACGACTGGTGCTCCACCCTCACCAGAACTCTGTATACTACGCGTGCTTTTCTAGAGACGGGAGCAAGATTGCCTCCTGTGGGGCTAGCAAAACACTACGGGTGATGATTTGACTTTTTGTTTTGTATTTATTTGTTTAACATTGCAATAACTGACTTATTTATTTATGACTGTCTTACTGCTGTAGGTGTTTAAGAGTACCTCTGGAGAGAAGCTCCAGGAGATCCTGGCTCATGATGATGAGGTTCTGTGTTGTGCCTTTTCCCCTGATGACCGTCACATAGCAACCTGCTCCAGTGACAGAAAGGTTAAGGTCAGTCTGCCCCCAAGGCTCTTCGTCTGTCTTTTTATATGCTTCTGTGTCTAATAATGTCCCTTTTTTCTTGCTCCATCTGTCTGTGTACCCATCTGTCTTTTTCTCTCTGTGAAAAGAGAAAAAATCTGTTTCCGTTCTTTCCATCTGTGTCTTTAGATTATATATTGCAATATGTAGTAGTTGAAAGTGATATGTTATCAATTAATGAAGAAATATGCACGTGTCTCCCGTGTGGTTTATGTGTGTTGTGTAGGTATGGAATGTAGAAAAAGGCACTCTGTTGCGTGTGTTTGAGGATGAGCATGAAGAGCAGATCAACCATTGCCAGTTCACTAACACAAACCGCCGCGTCTTGCTGGCGACCTGCTCCAATGACAAAATCATCAACACCAAGGTGAGAAAGACTGATGATCCTTTTACTGTGTTTTGTCCAAAGACCCTACAGCAGGTTCATTAATCTTGAAAGAATTACAGCCTGACAGTGTTGAGTGTTGAGGATCATATTGGTACCACAGTTAATGGTAAATCATCCACCCAGGCAGCAGACGAAGATTTCTTATGTTGTGTTTACATGTTAGCAGTAGACTGTTGACTGCAAATCAATATTACATTGTATTCAATGGATCAGCAACAGAAAATTCTGCCACTGTCAGCGACAATGGCTGTATACCGCAGCGGTCAGAGGCTTTGTCATTTTGTCAAGATGTCAGAATTCCTTTTTGTGTGGCTTTTGTGGTTGACCACAGCAATGGAATAAACTGAATGTTGATTTTTTTCACACATCCATTCCAAACACATCCAGTATTATAGAACCAAAAGAGTACAGAGCATTCTCCTGCTTTTTTCCACCCTAAAGGGCACGTATCCTATTAATATTCTGACTTATTATTATGTCAGCTTAGAACATGTGTGGGGTTTTATGCACTTTATTTCTTTGACTCAAACAGGTTGTACATGTAAAATGGTACATTTTGAAACTTTAATAATGCTTATATGTTACTTCAAACTTTTTCTTTCAAAAAAAGCAAGAGAAATACAGTTTTCCATGATATGGGCCCTTTAAATAAGCAGTCAACAGTGCTAAAGCTTTACTTTGATAGTCATCTGTTTTCATTTGTGATGCTGTCACTATGGCAGTGTTTGCATGGCTGCATGCTGCTGTTAGTAGCATACCGCTATTAGACATGCGACAACGCCAACATGTAAACACAGCATTAGCGTGTGTGTTAGGCCTTTATACAGTGCTGGGTTTAGTGCACTTCTTGGGATGAGGCCCATAAGTAGCTGCAACAGTTAGTCAACAAAGACGAATAGTCTTGGCCAAAAGTCGATGCACCGTTCACTCAGAAACAAAAGAGGTTTCTAATGGTCTTTGATGTTCACATAATATATGTGGATATTCTGACAAATTGCGATGTACTACAGTATGAATGATACACTGTAGTACTGAAGGATAGCAGTGAGTGAGAGGAAGCAACAGAAGGGCAGTTAATCAAATATTCATTAAATAAGTTGATTATTAAACTAATTATTCATTTTAGCTCTGCTTGTAAGAAAGGGTAACTTCTCACTTGGAGGTTAAGGCCAGTAAAACACTGTCAAAACTAGACATCTGGACGTATCCTATCAGAGTATGGTGGGCGTTTTGTAAATCAATTATAAATTCTAGGGGCTGATTTTGTTAGCGGGTGATAAAGTTCTGTTTGAGAACTTTTATTTATCAGATGTATTTAATATACCTGAGCCAAATCTGTGTAGGCAGTTTTAATCCAACAAAAATAGAAAATTTAATTGAATCTTAACCTCAGCAGTGAAAACTGTGTCTAGAATGTAAGCTTCAGTCATTTTGAACTTTGAATTTTGTGTATTGTTGCACCCCAACTCTCTGTGAGTTCAGCAGACAAACTACAGTCAGTAAGGCCAGCCTCAAGAGTGCTAAGAGAGAACCTGTTTATAGCTCCACAAGTTGTGGCTGGATATTGCCAATACCAAAGCAGTTGATTAGAACTATCTTCCTCAAATGTAGCCAATGTTCTCAAAATGTTTGAGACATATTTCTCCCTCCATAATACCTGCCTCCTTCTCAACTACATCCACCTTTACCTTTGTCTCCTCTCTGTCTCCATCTCTTCACCTGAAGCTGTGGAACCTTAACAAGCCAACCTCTCAGAACACCATGTTCGGACACATGGAACCAGTGAATCACTGTTGCTTCTCGCCAGATGACACTTACCTTGCCACTTCATCCAATGATGGCACTCTGAAGGTGTGGCTTAATGAACATACATCTTCCTGTTGGTGTTCATCCATCCTGGTTTGGGTTCTTATGCTGGCTTTATGTGTGTCTCTCAGCTTTTTGAAGTGCAGTCTGCAAACGAGTGGAAGTCTATCGACATCAACAGTTTCTTTCCAGAGAATGATGATGAAACAAGTGTTATGGTGAAGTGCAGCACATGGTCAGCAGACGGCACTCACATCTTCTGTGCTGCGAAGAATACTGTTTTTGTAAGTGGCCATTCATATGTAGGTAGATATATATTACATACATCTTTTCAAAGGAAGTTATGTGTGTATTTGGTGAAATACAAGGGTGTGTGGCAGTGCATATAGGTTATTCTCACAAATTATAGGAATATCTTTTTATCTGCAAGATGGTTACAACATTCAGATATTTATGGGCATGGTTTGAGGCTGTTTTGTGAGAATGACCCATGTGCTTGTTTCAAATTCTATTCCTGTTCTTAGCTATATAAACCATAAACCTCTATTTTAAATGTTTGCAAATTTTGGTTGAAGCTAAAATTGTACTAGAACACTTGCAGAAAATGCTGTGAATGAAGGTTGGCAACTGAAAAATACATGTTTAACTGCAGTTTTATTTGGTCTTCGTGTGTTTATAACTACCTGGGGATTGGCCTAGATGTTTGATGTAGAAACACAGGACATGCTGCTGGAGATCCGAACGAGTCGTCTGAGCACGGTGCAGTACTGCCAGGCCTGCCCTAACAGCCAGCTGTTAGCCCTAGCGCTGTCCCACTACACTGTGGAGGTAAGCTGACCTGCAGCGTCCATATACTCCCTCTCCACAGCTAGGATCAGTTGCAGTTAAAATCAAATAATGGTTTGATAAGTCTGTGTGGGAGTTTCAGTTGAAAACTCATTGTCAGCACTTTTCATATATACTCTCAGAGCTATGAAAACTTACTAAAGCCACTAAAACTGCAGCTTAAATCACTAACACAGCAGTGTAGCCATGATTTAAAGGGAATATTCTGCATAATTATTTAGTTATTTATAATTAAATAGTTAAGAGTTTTACAATAAGCTTTTGGCCTAAATACATTCATGATAGAGAGCTACATGTAGGGAGAAAACGTAAGGCAGGATAGTCCTTAAAGAATTTTGGGGATTTATCACTATTTTACCAATATCAATATTGCAAATAAGAACTCAAAGGCATGTGTAGGCTCATTGGTAATTTGGGATAGTAAATGAAATAGCTGTATTTCATTGTAGACAGCTCTGGTACCTACCATTGCGTAGAAAGCAGAGTTGCTAAGTTTCTCTACAATTAATCATTTCACATCAGAGCACTCAATCATGGAAGATTATAAGAATATAGAAAGAGATTATCAGAATATACACCCATCTACCTAAAGCACTGAGGTGTGTGTGTGTGTGTGTGTGTGTGTGTGTCTGTGTGTGTGTGTTGGTTTTCAGCTGTGGGACTTTGAGGCTAATAAGAAGATGGCTGAATGCAGTGGTCACCTGAGCTGGGTTCCCTGTGTGCAGTTTTCTCCTAATGGCTCCCTCCTCCTGTCCTCCTCTGATGATCAGACCATCAGAGTAAGCATTCTTGCAAGCTGTTACTCTACTGTCTCATACTGAATTTTACTCTTAAGTACTGTTTGAATGGGAATAGTTTGATGGTGGGATATTCATTATTTATTACTCATTACATTTATTTTCATCACATCTGAATCTACCATGTCAGTCATTTTTACAGAATGTGTTTTTCAACTGTAACATCAGTAGATTCCAGCGACCTTTACCAGTTATAAATCTTAAAATAGAATTTCCTTTAGAAATTTCCATAGGTACTTATTACTCATGCTTGTTACAAGAGCTATGATAAAACAAGTCTTTTTCAAGTACAGATACACTATATAAACAAAAGTATTGGGACACACTTCCTAATTATGTAGTACAGGTGTTTCAGCCACACCCATAGCCAACAGCTGGATAAAATTAAACACATAGCCTTGCAGTCTTGATAGACAGGCAGTAGAATGGGTCGCACTGATGTGCTCAGTGATAGTGTACCTTCAGGTAGAACTTAATTAATTAAAATTAATTAAAATGAAATGAAAACATTATTAAACAACAAAACACAATTTCCTTCATTGTAATTTGCATTAAATCATTCAAATATTTAAAGTTTAATTAGAACACCTAACCAAAAGTAAAGATTATTCATTTTTTAGCATGGAAATTCATTTTCAAACTAATTAAAATGGTTTTAAAATAGTAAGCAAGACATTATGAACCATCCATACATATTTGAAATCTAATCCATGTTTGACTGTACCTACTAAGTAAAACCATGTTCTGTCCATTAATTTACATGTGTGTGTGTTTTTTTCGTAGCTGTGGGAGACGGAGCGTGTGCACACATCTTCAGCTGTGGCTCTGAAGAGGGACTTTGATGTTGTTTTCAATCAGGATGACATCACAGTGGTGGCAGCCGACAGCAAGAATAGGTTACAGGTATATGCCATAAACAAGAGACATGTGAGTTGTGTCTCAATATCAAGTGTGCTCCTGTACTCACTGCTTCCTGCACAGGTAGGTAGGATTTTATCCAAACTGAGCCTTATAAAGAGCCCCATAAAACAGTTTATTGAGATGCTCAAGTTGGAGAGCGATTAGAGCACTAATTGTTCCTGCCCCCTGCCCACAACCAATATGTACATTTAGCCATCAAAGTGTTTACAGGCTTGTTCAGCGTTTTCTGTTTGTGAAGATGATTGAATAAGTAGTTAAGTAGCAAAATATAGGCACCAGTAGTTCCTTACAATTCTAGCCAGATAAGCAGAAATACCCCACATAGCTGGGACAGTTATTTAGCTAATGCTATTTATCTAGTTACATTCGACAGCAAGATCACAATAGTCTTAGCAGTCTATTGGCTATCTGGTCATTTGAAATAATAGCTTAAGATAATAATCTAAAGCTAATCTATGAAACAGAAACTCTAAAATGACCATTGACATAACTAATCAATTGATACCATACAAAGGAGGTTGACTTTGCTGCTTGTTACATCACTTTCATACACTGTCTAGAATGATATGTCCAGCTAAAGTTTAGCTATTTAATTGGATTGTGTAATTTTCTTGTTAATTAAAGCTAAATATGATGTTACCTTAAACTTTGATCAGATTAATCTTAGATGAATAAAATGCCTCGTTTAAAGAGACACCTTACATGTCTACATCGTTGGGAAACATGCCAATTCTCCTCTTACAGAAGTCTCTGAGGTGAAATTTTCTTGTTTAAATGTTGATGAAATATCTTGAAGGTGGAAGTAAATTTTGAAAGATGACAGGTGCTTTGGAGTGAATATTTGGGGGCAGACAGTTTGATTGATTTTTTTCACTAAGCACAAACTGTGAATTCTGTCAAACTGGTGAGGCTGAGGGATGCAATGCTGAGCTACAAAACATTACATAACAGGACAAAGCATATTATATGTTAGATTTAGGCCGGAATGCCCCTTTAAAGAAATCTAAGAATTGAAACAGCCTTGAAGACAGCTTGCTAGGTATTGGGACACAGCCATGGACACACTCATACCTGCAGTAGTTTTTCTCAATGAACTTGATTATTGAGCTGCACCTTTAATTAATTTGTGGTGAGATTACAGTCTTTTCCACGTTCTCCTTCCAGTATTTAAATGTATTTACTGTTTGTGTGTCAGGTGCGTTCCGGGCTGACGGGTGCACTGGTGTTTGAGTCTGTGAAGCAGAAATCGAGGATTCGCTGCACGTGTATTTGCAGGCAGGCTCAAGCTGTGGCTCTGGGGATGGAGGACGGCGCGCTACAGGTAACACACCTTGTCTCTGGACTGCCATATGCGCTGTGCTGCCTCAGAGGGATGCTGCTTTATTTCTGACTGCCTGAGAGCCTCCATATGCCCATGTGTTGGTAAAAATACCTCTCACCTTGCTTGAGGATGTCACTTTCCACTTTCTGTAATGGGATCTGATGGGGCTGTTGACCTTCTGCACCTATTCCATATCTCTCTATCTCACTGTTTCTGTCTCTCACTGACGTGCACACTTTCTAGTTTGCTCTCTCTCTCTCATTCTCTCTGTCTCTCTCTGTGTTTTTCTCTCTCTCTCTCTCTGCTTGAGGCGAGTTATGCCATGCTGTAGTGGTTGTGACCTGTGTGACGAGTCGAGGGAAAACCCAGCAGTAGCTCCTGCTGCCAGATGGACCAGGTTTTTCCCTGCTGGAGCTGCTCCTCCTCTTCACATTTATTAAAGGCCCTTTAGCCTCAGCCAACAGCAGCATTTCTTCATTTTAATTACGCCTCTCTATCTCTGCCTCAGCGTCAGCCCCTTTCCTGCCACAACACTCTCTCCTCTTTCCAGGCAGAGACAGGTGGAGGGAAAGATAGGCAATGATGGAGAGAGTTGGACAGAAGTTGATGTTGTGTCAGAGTTGAACATATGTTGACTTTCAGGTACAGGTGTGAAGTTCGGGACAAATGTTGTGGCACCTTAAACTCATCCATCATGGCAGGATTAGTTGCTGTTGGCTGTAATGACTGTGATGATTTTCAAACCATGTGTTTACTGTGACAGAGGTGAAAAATACTCACTGATACATACACACTCACATTCAGCAGGGTAAATATTCTCCGCAAGGGGGTGCTGTTAGTTCTCGAGTAGCTTTTGGTGCTACCAAAGATTAAGAATAGTGGACACTGTAGCTGCATTCCAATAGCTAGGCTGCAGCTGAGAACGGTGAGTCCTCAGTAGGACTGTCCTGTGAAGGCTCCTTGTTTGTACATACATAATTCAAAACATCTTACAAGGATGCTTCATCAGATCATCAGAAATTAGTTGGCACACAAAATTTAATGGAGAAACTATTGTTAATGATGTGAATGTGAATGATAGTAAACTAGTAAGCAAAGTGTTGATGTGAATGATGCAATGTGGCAGGCAGAAAATTTCTGGCTTTAAAACTGTTTAACTCACCAAATTCTCATGCACCTGCATTCATTTTTCACTCTCTTTAACACATAGAACTAAAGCAATAGTGTACTGTATATTTTACTGTATCCTTATTGGCCTTTTTTTAACAATGTGTAGTTGCTGGTTCCATCTGCCAGCATTTCTCTTGAATTTTCATGGGGTCAGAGGCAGGACTGTGGGCAACGGAAGACTGTTAAGGATACACCAGTAGTGTCCTTGAAAACTGTCAGAATGTAGGCTACTTTTCTCAGCTGCATGTGAAAGACACTTCTGATTGGAGCAGCCTTGGATGACGAAGCAGTCTAGAAATGCAGCCCTCCTGGCCTGCAGCCTAGCTTTTGAAACTCAGCTCGTATGTCCTTCTTTTACTAATATCGAGTGCTTGAATGAAAAAATGAAATAGTGTATTGTTGCAAATATTGCTTGCAGATTTTTGCATTGCACAAAGCATAGCAGTATAAGTATCGTCATCCCAGTAAGAAAATGAACCACATGTTGTTTCTGCTGGCTTGTGTCCGTGCATGCAGTGCCTTCTGACGCCAGCAGAGGGAAGCTTATCCACACAGACTGTAAAACTAGAAAGCTTTTCAGCAGGAGTTAGAAACCTTTGTCCTATTTGTGGCCTTGCATGGCTTCATTTTTTGGTATTTGAAATGTGTAGCGTAGTGATATTACTTGACAGTGCTGAAAGAAATGTGAAGCCGTGTGTGTTTATACTCCATCGCAGGCAGGAAAAATGAGTGCTAGGCAGGTCCTGAGGAGGATCGGTTGGAAAGCTCTGCAGCTGCTAAACCTTCAGCAGACATCAGTGCTGGCACTAGGGTTAGAGCTAGGCACAGTGCAGGTACAGTAGGATGTGTTAGTGTCTGTCTGCATGTGTGTATGTGTGTTTATTACACAGGTGAGAAGCTAAAGAGCTGAACAGATTGTTAAATAATAGTCTGAGCTTCAATAACTTGGTTCAGATAAATACACTCTATGGATACAGTGAAAGTGTATTCATTTATCTTCACTACCAACTGAGGTGTTCTGAGAGAATAGCATGCAGGAACAAGTGAAGACTGGCAGTAGCAGTCAAGAATTTGGACACATTTACTTGTTGAAAGATTGTCTTTATTTTTGCTGTTTTTCACATTTTAGGATGACGTTTGTGTCAGAAATAGCTTTCTACCATATATATAGGCCTCGGAGAATTACGAAATGTTATCTTTATATTGCTATATAAAGAATTGCAGTTAACATTTTCAAGGTCTTTGTTATTCATTATATGTAGCTATGGAAGTACACTTCTAAACTGGCCATATTGGCTGATTAGCTATCTTGCTTCCTAGCCATCGATACTTGGTAGCTCCCAAATGATGGCAGAAACAGCTACCCACTAAAGGTGTTATTAACAAACATCAAATAAACAAATGTTACTCACTGCTGCCCTGTAAAGGTGCTATAAATAGACATTATTCACTGCTGCCCTCTAAGTGTGTTATTAACAAACATCGAATAAACAAATATTATTCACTGCCCCTAATAAAAGGTGTTCTTAAGAACATGAAATAAACAAACATTACTCATTACATGCTGCCCTCTGGAGGTGTTATAGCATCAAGTTAGAAGTTAGAACTTTTGTTGTTTTCTTAAGATCCATGATGTGTGTAAAATAATTGCAGTCAGCTTAAATAATTGCAAACAGTTCAAATAATTGCGATCAGGTGTTTATGCAATGATTGTGACCAACCTACATACAGTCGTACACAAAGGTTTTAAAACCCCTGATCAAATTACACATTTTGTTGATTTTTGAAGTGAAAATAAGTTAACACATCCTGTGCAGAGAACACAAATATGACACTTTTCTGCAAATTTAGATGCACAATTTCTGTTTATTTGTGGATTTTAATTCATCAGAAAAAAATGAGATATAAAAAGTGCCATAACTTTTGCACAGGCCTCATTTTATGTTTTCTTCTTCTTGTCTTAGAAAACAAATCTAAGTATAACTGGTTTAATATTATTGAAAACAGTGATTCCAAACTCTTGAATGGTAGTGTACATTTTTATGGTTATGGCCTCATATGTTGTTTTTCTCACACTGGCTTATAATCCTTACCATGCAGATGATCAAGGTTCCCTTTTGCAGAACTTTTGGCTGCTACTATAATGTGGTTAAGACAGTGTAAGGAACACCTACATTTCATTTCCCCTGAAGCAGTACACGCTCAGATGGCCTGAGGCTGCTTATGAAGCTGTAAATACTGCAACTATAAATATGGCTTGTCATAAAATTCATTTTTTGCTGAAGTAGCTAAAGCTCCCTGTACATGTGCACGTACCTTCCCTTCTAGCAGGGAAGCAGCATATAAGTGTAAAAGGGCAGCTCTCTGCGTCCCTTCGGTCAGCAGCATGTGTTGACTGCTCAGTAAGGCCACACTCATCTTGAGCTATTGCACTGCATTACCCATTCTGCTTCCACAGGCCCAATTCACTCTCATTACAAGACTAAAATTGCAAACAAAACCCTGTAATGAGCTTGTTGCCCAACACTTTCATTTAGGGTAGATATATAGTTGAATTTAGCTTAATTGGTGAAGTTTACCTTTATGTATAGATGATAGCTGACATGGGCTGGTAAAAGGTAATGTTCATGTAGCTTAAAATAAGATACATAAATACACAAAATGACTTTCATAATTCTGTGTGAGATGAAACCAAATGTAACCTCTGACCTTCAGATGTTGTAAAGGTATTCTGAAACTACACTCAGGACAATGCTACCTCTGAATATTGATAATATCATTTGCACTGATTGTCTGAATTGGCTTAGTTAACTGTTATTTTGTGATAAAAGAATATTTCTCGATGGCAGTTCTTTGAATGGTAAGTTTTTTTGTTTTTTTTTCTTCTCTCACTTGTGGTTCTCTGGGAGATTTTGGGTGGATGGCAGACGCTCACAGAGCTGTCAGTCCTGATCTGTCAGACAGGCCTGATTAATCTCACACGGAGTCGGGCTCTGTTTGATGTTCCTTATCGCTGTCAGCCTTTCACACCATGCCTTCTATTCAACTTTACTCTCTCTCTGTCTCTCTCTCCCTACCCATCCCACCAGTTGTCTGCATTCCTTGACTTTTTCTCTCCTAAGTGACTGACACTTTTTTCCATCTTGAGTTTTGAGGGTTTTTTGGAGAGCTATGCCTTATCATGAGTAGTAATTCTTTTAATCATTTGCTTCATGCTCGTTGCACTTAGTTGCAATTTAATTATGGGCTTGTTTATTGTTCTGTCATTCTTTCTCACACTGGATCTCCATCCTCTCCATGCAGGTGCTCGAGGTTCCTTCTGGTAATACATTAGCTACACTGCTTGGTCACACCAAAACTATCCACCACTGTCTCTTCACTGAGGACGGACAAACTCTGATCACATCCTCGGAAGATACTACAGTCAGGGTAATTAATATACTGAATTCCCACTCTTCTCCATTATGATATGAAATGATCATGATACACTGCATGTCCAGAAGTATCTGGACACCCCTTCTTATAGTGAATTCAGCTACCTGTTGCTGATACAGGTGTCACTTGCACACACACACAGCTTGTTTATTCTCTATAGAAAGGCGTTGCTAATAGATTGGGACACTCTAAAGCTGCTGTATATGAGTCTAAGGTTACAATGCCCATATTGCATATAAAGTCCCCCAGCATTGGGCTGTGGAGCAGTGTCCAGTATCCATCCAATACCTTGGGGATAAGTTAGAGAATTAATCATTTGACCACCAGTACTTGACCTCACTAATGCTCTTGTGACTGAATGCAATCAGATCTTCACAGCAGTGTTCCAAGATCTAGTGTAAAGCCTTCCCAGAAGAGTCGATGTTGTTACTGCAGCAAAGGAGAGACAAACTCCCTATAAATGCCCCTGAAACATCACATAAGCAGGTGTCTACAAACTTTTGGACATATGGTGTATATCATAGTGTGCATGCTTATTAAACAATGGATGTCCTCTATGGGAAGCTTCATTAGTAGCTTTAATTGCCTCGATTGCACATTACTGCAGATGTGATCCATAATGGCGTAAATGAATAGTTCAGCAAATTTACACTATGTAGCTGACGACTGATGGAAGCTTATACTTCACTAATTAGCATCATGCAAACTGCATGCCTAAATCATGACACTCACCTCAAAGCATGTGGGGTTGTTTTGTAATCTCAAAAAGGCTTGATTATGTGGTTTCTGAGCAGGCCTTTGCATAGACATTTTGTGGGAAAGCGGCTTAAGGGAGAAATAATACAACACGGATGTAAATTAAACGTAAATTATCAGTAGCCCTTACTGCCAACATTATATTTGAATGTTGGCAAAAATAACCACGTTATAGACGGACATGTTCTTAAAGAGATTATGAGTGCTTTATTAGTGAGGTTTCCAAAAATGTGGTGATGCATCTGTGACAGGTCCCCTCTCCATAGGTGGTTAGTACTACACAAGAGGGGGCACACAAAAGCAGTCATTCTCATGAAACCTGAGCCAACTCACTAGCTATATTCCCGAGGCGAGCCTGAGCTGAGGCTGGCTGAAATGAATCTTGAAGAATGGCCAGATAAAACACAGTTGTACACGCTGACCAAGTGTGAGGACTAATGGGCAGGGCTCAAGGGGCTCAGTATTCATTGAAGACTTGCTCTTGGGTGCCCCCTAGTGTTTTCAGTCATTTTGTATATAATGGGAGAAATAGGAAGTGGTCAGGCTCCCCTTAGGCTTGTAGCATTTCGTTCAGGGTAGGAGCTGCCTTTTTGTGCTAATCTAAAAGCGGGTACTGCTGTCTGCATTGTTATTTTAGCATTAAATAACAATGGTAAAAGGTGGTCTCTGGTCAGCTTAAACAGGGCAACTTCTACAAGAGCACATCATTCCACTGGGAAGTATCTGGCTTTTAAAGGCTCTCTGTGTCTCCCTGCAGGTGTGGAGGTGGAGGACAGGTGAGTGCCTGGTATTAGAAGGCCATAAGGAGCCAGTCAGGAAGTTTCATCTTGTCGGTTTCTCCTCTTCCTCACCTGCTCTCTTATCCTGGTCATTTGATGGCACTGCCAAGGTAACTACTGTTGTTGAAAGTGCTGGCATCTGCTGAAAGCAAAACATTAGTGTCAGACTATGTAAAGGTCAGATTCTGTAAAGACTTTGTGGACATACTAGCTCTCCCATCCTGTAAATCTTTGTGTGTGTGTGTGTGTGTTAGGTGTGGGACCTGAGCTCTGGAAAGAAGCTGCAGGATCTAGAGTGCCATCACGGTGCTGTGCTGTCAGCTGACATTTCTCCGGATGGACAAGTCTTCTCCACCGCATCAGCAGACAAGACGGCTAAGGTGAGGGAGAAAGATTTAAGTTCATGTTACAGGTTCAAAAAATTTTTTTTGCAGAAAATGTGGCACAGATCTGATTTGTGTAGAGCTATATGAATAATAGAAACAGATTTTTTTCAATGTGTATCCATTACATAGCCTTGAAAGCATAACAACATATTCAGTTTCCAGTGGTGGACGAAGTACACAAACCATGTACTTGAGTTAAAGTAGAGATACCCAAGGTCTTCCCTTTAGAAATCTACTTGAGTAAAAGTACAAAAGTATTTGCCTTCAAATCTACTTAAATATCGAAAGTAAAAGTACTAAAAGATTAATTATGTTCTTGCTTCACGCTTCTTTCATTTTGACATGTTAAGTTTTTATACACACATAAGCCAAAAAGAACGACAGATTTCACATGATGTAGTGGAGTGAAAAGTAAGATATTTGACTTTGAAATGTAGTGGAGTGAAAGTAAAAAGTCGTCCAAAAAGGAAATACTTCACTAAAGATACACAAAAAACTACTTAAGTACAGTAACAAATTACATTTACCTCGTTACTGTCCACCACTGTTAATTTCTTAACTTGATCAAATTTTCTTAACTAGATCACATGTAGGTAGTCCTTTCACTCTGATGATAATGGGTCGCTTCACAAATGCGATCCATCGAGGCAGAAAAATCTGAGCAAAAACCAGAATTGATGAGACTAAATGCTGTTACCAGAATGTTCCTTCATGTTGAAGTTGGTGGTGCTGACTAGGTTATGTTTATCTTTTCTGCTCAGCTGGAATTTACATATCTGTGGTACGAGAATTTGAATGTTTCTGAACCTGTCATGTCTCCTGAACCTGGTGCCAGAATTAAAGTTTACATATGACTTGCTGTCAGGGCTTAATTTGCATCAGACTCACAGATCAGTGTGAGCTTTTTAGTGAGGCTCCTAATCATTGAATATTTTCTCTTATATGGGTTTCTCGAAACTAAACAAGCAGCTTCTTATGCAAGAGTAGTAGATCTCACAAGCCAGTGCTTTAGCTCAGGGTTACTGAGTACTTTTGAGGGATGAACAGTCACAGCAGTGGTGGGTGTATTTGTGATAAACAGCATCAGTGTTGTTTTTGTTAAAGTTCCTGTGCCCATGCACGCTCAAATGGAGTTAAAAGTAAAAGTGCATGCTTGCCATTGCATGAGGTGATATACCATAATATTATTGATTTCTGCACATTATCTAGCTCCACTCCAATGTATTCAGTATGTGAACAGATCCAGTTTGGGAGGTACTGTGTCCAGTTTGTTCTGGCACAAATTAAACTCAATGAAGCACTTAAACAGTTTTGATGGTTCCTTTCTCTGAAATGCATCTATGTAAAAAAGTGAATGTGTGTAGTTTCTTTGTCTAATAAACATTTAAGTGCTTGTTTCAGTAGATCAGAATATCCCTAGTCTAAGACAAAACTGCACTCTTTTAATGGTGAAACAAACCCCCTTTATATTCAGTAAATACACTTCTTGTGTGTCCTGGCAACTGTCTTCCAGATGCTGTTTTTAGAACAGCCAAAACCTCAGCAGTTAAGGGGAACAATAAGAAGTAATGTCAGCTGAGTATACAAGAACAACATCTTCCAGCAGAAAGAAAGAGAGGCTGCCTTGGCAGAGAAAGCTGGGGTGTGTTCTCAGTGGGACACAGCTCGCTTTCCTTCAGAGTGTAGATGGCCTAGGGACTCATCCTGTGCACACACCTGTTCATGCTACAGCAGCAGTGCTTTACTTTCACACTCTAAACTTAAATTAGTTGACATTACTTAAAGGAGCAGTGGGTAAGATTTGGGTGGATCTTTTAGCAGAAATGGAATTACTATACAAAGCCATGTTTTCATTAGTGTATAATAACACTTTACATCAATTCAAACCACAATCAGAAAACTACATACATCTTTTCATCAGTTCTTGCTGACACAGTCTGATCATGTCCTGCCTTGACATTCTCACCTGAGGAGCAGGTGCTCCTCTCTCACACTGAGCATGAGCATCAGAGTCATTTAATGTGTGTTTTCAAGCTCAAACTTCCAACTGTTTACTGATGTCTTTCTCATAGATCTAAATGCAGATGTCAGTTTAGTCACTGTTCCTGTTGAAACAGTTGAGTGATCTTTGTGACTGAAGCTGCTGCCATCCATAGCCTAACAATGTACCCTCTTTCAGAATCATTTAGACCTATTCCTCTTGTTGTTTTGATCCGAAATCGAGGTCAGCTGAACCTGTTCTGCATTTTTATGCATGTCTCAGAGCACGGTAGGATGATAAGTGCCTGATTGTATAATGCAGTATTCTTGTCTGTATGTTTCTCCACTCAGGTAATTCAGGTTTTTCCTTTAATTCGTCACCCGTCTGTACTGTGTGTGCATATTTGAGATAAAGAGATGGCCTAGCGTTTAGAATGCAGTACGGGACTGTTTCGGATATGTTCATGCCATCTCTGCTGGTATGCTCATTAACCGTACAGCTGCAGTCCAGCATTGCTTAATTAGCACAGTAGGCCTTTACCCTGGACCCATACACATACATTCTTTTTCTCTCTGAGGTCATATTAGAGCTGCTAGTCTGAATTTGTGAGAGAATGAGGGGCTAATGAGTTGAAGCAGTGTTTTGTTCTCCAGTTTTCTGTGTGCTTATGAGTTTTTTAATGAGATGCTGTGTTCATCACTGTCTGCCAGTCAGTAGTGAAACAGACACAGAACCCTGAGAGTTCTCATTTGATTACAAGTTGAAATACTGTCTACTAATCAGGTTTGTTGTTACTGCCTCAGTGTTTTTCCCCTCTATAATGTGCTGAGGTTTAACACAGCTCCATTGGTCTTGTCTTCAGATTGCTGATAACATGTTCATCCTATAAATGTCCTCTGTTCCCTCAGGTGTGGAGCTGTACTTCATGGGAGATGGTGTTCCTCTTGAAAGGCCACAAAGCCTGTGTCCGCAGCTGCCGTTTCTCCTGGGACGGCAAGCGGCTCGCTACTGGTGATGACAACGGAGAGATCAGGGTAAGTGCTGGGAGATGAACAGACAGGTTTATAAGAGCAGCATTACAGAAGAGGAAATGTTAAAGCAGTAGTAAAAAAAAATCACATTACATATTTTTGTAAGTTTGTAATCTGCACCGGAATTTTGCCAATAATTCATATAAAATTACAAAATCTGCAAGTGTCTCATATCCTACATTTTTATTTCTTTTTTTTGCCTGAGGTCCACTTACAACATTTGTGTGGGTTTATGCACCAAAAAAGTCATAATTCATTTTTACATGACAATTTTCCAACCTCTCTTTTTCTCTTGGGATTTAATAGGCTGATTTGTTACTGTGCCATTAAGACTGATATGTACAAATTAACTCTGTTCTGACTGGGTGCCCTGTATTGCGCCTCATTCAAAAAGCTGTCCAGGCTAAAAACACTTCTATAACTTATAATGTAGCTAACAAGTAATGGTAGCTTTTACCCCACCGATTAGCATTGTGCACACTGCATGCTTAAATAATCACACAAGTAATCTTAAAACCTTTGTTTAAGCTTCTGTTATTTGCCACAATAGCCTCAGAGCTCCAGTGTGAAACTAATAAAGCAAACTCCAGACACCAAAAATTTCTTGGCTGATAAACTACATTTGGGATGAGGGGAAAATTATGTGTAGATTAGATTTTTCGCTGAACTGTTGCTTTAAACATGAGAGATTAGGGGTTTGAATCCCAGCTGTGCTCTGTGCCGTCCATGCCTGTGAGCTGTCAAGAACGCAACAGCTACTCTTCTAATTAGGACAGAAGGGCAGCAGGGGTCCACTCTCCCCGCTGCTAAACGACACACTAGCAAGTCAGAACACAGGTTCTAGAGAGCCACAATGGAGATTTCAACCTCAGTTCCTGGAGCTGCTGCTTGTCTTCTCCTCTCCCGCCCTCTTGTGTCCCCTCCGCTCCTCTGTAACACACCTGTCTCGTCTGCCAAGCTGTCAGCCTCACTCTCTCTGTCTCTCTCTGTCTCTGGCTGAGATCGAACAGCCATAGTGTTCAGTTGTGTAAACTACAGAAGCTGTGCCTTATCCATTAAACATGCTGCTCAGAGAGAGAGCGGCCCGCAGCAGTAACACACCACACTCTGATGTGTGTAATTCAAGCCCTCCGGTGCCACTTTGCTCAAACTCGCCATTATTTATACACTCTTTTGCTGCTTTGGCAAGGACAAGGAAGAGGAAGTGCTCTCACATTTGGTTACCATAGAAACATGAGCATATTGTAATTTCTGTAATTTATTGTGAAATCCTGTCAAATGTATAGTTAGATTTAGCAGCACATCACTTGACATGTCTTCAGCATTTCTAACAATAATAATAGAAAATATCCTCACTCAGCTAGTAGCTGCATTCAGTGGCTCTGCAGTGTAGTGCAGCATTTCAACATTTTACATTTTAAAATTAGAATTATGAAACGGATAGTTGTCGTAGCCGTGGTTAAAACCTCAGTATGTACATACTCTCGTCTTACATGCTTCAGATTCAGCCAGATCTACTAAACCAAATAGCAGCCTACTTCCTATATAGTTTGTAAATTTTGTTAAGTTATGAATTTCAGGCTTCTTCACCCAAATAATACACTCATGTATGGAATTATACACACATGGATAAATCCCAAATGGCTATTTATAGGTGTATTATGCATAGTTTGGGTGCAGGAGACAGTATTTTAATTTCTATGTAGTGCACTATGTAAGGAGTAGAGAGCCATTTGAGATTCAGCCTTTTTCTATGCTTAGGTTCTCCTGGCTTATTATTTTCATATTAGAATTATGGTGATGATGTTGATTCCTTGTGATTCCTTGGTTTTACATGCAGCTGTGGAACATGCTGAATGGATCGCTGCTGAAGATCTGTTCCCGTGAGAGTAAGGACTCTATGGACTCTTGTCATGGCGGCTGGGTGACTGACCTGCACTTCTCTCCTGATAACAAAGTCCTTGTGTCGACTGGAGGATACATTAAGGTACACAACTCGCACACACTTCTGAGGTCAAACCTGCTTATAACTTAACAGTTCATCATGTTTCCAGTTCTACATGAGACAAACACATAATGACATGGATAAAATTTTATGTAGTGATATTAATGACAAATATTGAAATTCACATTGTAATTCGACCATGTTGTATGACTAAAGGCATGAGACTTGACATTTAAAATTGCAAATTGATCAGCAGGTTGAAGGTTCCACCAGTTTCAGTTCAAGATTTCTGCATAATTAAATCAAGTAGTTGTAAACAGTCATTCAGAGTGGTCTGATGTGAAATGGTTCATTGTGGAGAAACTTACTGACTGACAGTGGTGGTGAAAAGAGGTTGCAGTGGATCACACAAATATAGCCATTTTGTTCACCATCCAAAATGGTTATCAGTGAACCTACACGTCTTACACATAACATAAAAAATAGATTTAGGCCAAAACTTTATCTAAAACTGTCATAAAACAATGTCTCAGGCATCAGGCAGTGTATTCATAACCAGTTCATGTTTAACTTTGTGTGAGGGCGCTTTTAGAGGTACTAAATTTATCAGACATCTGGTTCCCATCACCACCACTGTGAACTATTCTGACTAAGTAAGTTTCTCTACAATGGAGCATTTCACATCAAACCACTCTGAATTACTGTTTTTAAAATATCTTAATGATTAAATTATGCAGAAATGTTGAAAAATTGGTAAAAGCATTCCTCCAAATAAACTTCATTGAGCTCTTGGAAGAGCATTACAAAATAATGTAAAAGTCTAAACAAAAAGCTAAATAAATCTAAGAATAATAATAATAATAAAACTAGGATAAAATTTGTAATGATACCTGGTATTTGTTAAAAAAGAAATAAAAGCTCAGGTGAATAAAGCGTGTTGGATGTCTTCTGAGCTGTATCGGTAGTTTCTTTCTTCACATTAATATGCTCCTCATGCAAGACTTTGTGTTGTTTGAAATGATGGAGGGTATTTGACATGTTGCCTCTCTTTGTTGCAATTATGGCAAAGCAAGCCCTGAACAGCGCTTCTTGTTGTTTCACCCCTTTTGAAGCCAAAATAATTCCAAACAAGGAATAATGAGTTGTAAATTTGTGAATATGTGAATTTGTTTATTTCTGCTTTCATTTTCTACACAATCTAGCTCTGCTAGCTGTTTCACTCTCAATCAAGAGGATGTTTATGATTGGCTGGCATTAGCTGTGCTTGCAGGGGGGGCATGACTGATGGGGCGGCGATTTAATTAAATGAGTGTGTAAGTGGCACAGCTGGCGCAGCTGGAATTGCCACTTTCCTCCAATGAAAAAAGCTAGTTTCACAAGCTCATATTTAATTGTACATATTTCTACATATTTACAGTGCTGTGTAAAAGTCAGAGACCACCCTTGATTTATTTAATTTCCAGTCAAAACAGCCATTAGTACAAGTTATTTTTCAGGTGCAGCTATCTAAGCATTGGTTCTATCATCAGGAGATCGCAAGTTCGATCCCCAGTGATGCTAATAACCCTAGACTGGGAGTCCAAGAGAGCACAGTTGGCCTCACATAATTTGCCCTCCCTCTTCCTGTATGCTAGCCAAAAGAACCAGCAGTTAATGTGTTGAGTTGTCCAATGATGTTAAGTTAGCAGTAGTTTGAAAAGATGTGCTTCACATTACACAGTACCCTCCTAGAGCTGATAGTATTGTGTTACTGCGGTAGACCTGGCTAGTGGGTCTAATTGGACTCAACTAAAATTTTGGAAAAATGCCAAAAAACCATACAGAGATAACTGGACTCTTATCAACTGTGTAGGACCTGGTGGACCACAATCAGATAAACAGTACTTAAAGGAGAAAATCAAGCTCCACTCTTGCTTTTTCATTGTGAGAAGAACAGCTCCACACTATGAGTCTGAAAGGATGTGTAGCTGTGAAGAAGAGAGAAGGAAACAGACAAAAATGAAAATTTGCAAAACAAAGAAGCTGTTGAAGTTCTCAGAACAATGGACAGACCACCCCAGAGTCCAGACCTCAACATCACGGAAAGGGATTATTTGGATCGTGAGAAGCAGAAAATACAACCAACTTCGAAGACAGAACTTTGAAGGTGTGGAAAAACATCGCTGCAAATTTCTTTGAAGAACTGAAACCAAGTCTCTTGAAAGAATGGAGATACCCAAAGGCAAAGAGTGAAACACTAAATACTGAAAATTTTGATATTATATTTGGTTGTTGAGGCGTCAGTTTTATTTTTTGTTAAATATGTTTTCTGCTTTTTTTCAGGTGCTGAGAAATAACTTAATAAATTAATTACTTAAGTTCTTAATTTTCATATTGATTGACAGTTAAAAAAAATAAAAAGGTGAATTCTCCAGTACGACACTGTATATGAACATTTACACATTATGCTTACAATATTTATCTAACATTATCAGCCTCAGTTTTACTGCTCTCATACCACAAAACACACAAGCTGTTTCATTGCCTCAGACACTGACCTAAGCTCCTTCTCACCAGTTCCTCACTTTAGCCATTACAAGAGCAACCACAAAATTGGCCTTAGATCAGTGCAGCTTCATCCAGCACTGTTTCATTATGTCCACTGTTTGATGTGATAGATGAATGTGAGGAGTGATAATGAGTCGTGATTGATCATGCACTCGTCTCTGTCAGGACGCTGCTCCGTGTTCTAGGAGATGATAGATTAATCATCGCAGCAGCTAGCATGATTTTTCTAGCCATCAGTCACCATTAGGCTGCCGGACTTGTGCGAATGCGGCATCATATTAATATTAGCAAGACTGAAGATGATTTGTATACTTTATGTAAGGCAAGTTGAATATCTCCAAGTAACAGTGTTGCCTTGTGACACGACAGTTAGAAAATGATATGCTACCACTAATTATTGTCATCTAATTGTTTTGTTGGATTTAATGAATTAACAGCGATGGCTAGCAGACAGTGTGCTGAGCAGCTTGTACAAATACATTTAAAGGACCTGCATCCTGCATTTTTCTTGTATTTATTTTTTTCCTGGAGGTCCACTTGTGATGCTCATCTAGTTTTATGTACCAAAAACAGCCATAATTAATTTGACCGATTTCCAACCCCCTTTTATTCCTCAAACAAACAGGCTGTTTTTGTTCCTGTGCCTTTAAAACTGATATGTAAATGAGCTCAGTTTCAATTGGCTTCCCTGTATTGTGCATTATTCAGAAAACAGCCAAAGCTACTGTAGATTGAATAGGTGGAGCTAAGCTGCTGCAGGCTGAGTAGGCAGATATACAGTCATACGCAAAAGTTTGGGCATCCCTATTTACATTCCGTTTGTTTTCTAAGTGAAAATAGGATAATATCCTCTACAGAGAACACATTTTAATGCACACTTACTGTTTAATTGCTGGATTTAATATATTGGGAAAAAACCTACAATGTGGCCTGTACAAAAGTTATAGCACATTTTATGTTTATATATTTCCAATATGTTAAACTTGGACTATGGCCCCTTTTTATACCCAGTCTGGGCCCACAACGCCTGTTAGGACTCTATTTATAGATATATATATGTATATATATACTATTTAAGGATTTATTTAAATATCTAATTTGTAGAAAGACTGAAGAGGACATTAGCCGTGAAATTTGTCCATGGCTTAAATTCTTCACATTATGAAAATTGTAGTTTTCTAAATTAAGCATGTAACATTGATCGACACAGATCCATGATAGTCATTGTGTTTGCCTTCTGTTTTCACTGTTATCATTTTGTGTGCTGAATATTTCAGTAGATCAGCAGCATTCTGCTTAGCCTGCTTTGTTCTGTAATATGTGCGGCTGCAGGAAAGAATGCAGTCACATTGGAAACATCTGAAGACCTGATCTTATTCAACGAGGCAGGTTCTGCTATCATGTGCATGTGAGGGTGGATTAGTGTGAGTGTGCGTGGTGGATTTGGTTTCTGCACTGAGCTCTTCTCTTTGATATCTGCCTACTGTTGCTTCTCGGTGACTTGTTTACAAAGCATAGATGGACTGGCAGTCAGATGGAAATTTTATGTAATTGAATCGTCAAATCATTGAACATCATCTCCATCATTTCAAATAGATTTTCATAATTTAATGTGTTCATTAATATTTACATTTACGGCAATTAGCAGAGACGCTCTTATCCAGAGCGACTTACAAAATGCTTTGTTGTCCAATCAAAGAATGTGTCCTCACTGATACGAAAAGGTTAGAGTCTAAACGACCCTTGAACTTAGAAAAGAGTCCAGTGTAAAGTACAGTGGTGGTGATGGGAACCAGGGGTTGCCATGTCTACAACACAAATATAGCCATTTTATTTACTATCCAATACCAGCAGTGAACCTACATGGGTCTTTTTATGTGTAAAATTGATAATGGTAAAATAGTGGTGAACATAATAATAATAATAATAATGTTTTGTGTACAATTTTGCCCTACAACTTCCTGCATGTACCTCCCCACCATGAATCAGTTTCAAAAATAGGCCAACACAGTATCTAAAAACTCTCATAAAGCAATGTATCAGGCATCAGGTTTGTAACCATTTCATACAATAACTTCCTGTGAGGAAAATTTCAGATGCATTAAACATTTGAGACGTCTGGTTCCTATCAAAACCACTGTGAGCAATTCTCATAGATCCTTTTCTTATTTGCATAACAAGGCTGCTGCATATTCGTAATAGATTACATCAAGATTTCACTACCAGAACTGTTCGTTTTATAAAATTATTTAACCTCCTAAGCAGTACAAGTTTCATGTGATGGGTTTTATGCTATTACTTAAAAATAATTTTACTTCTCTGCTCTATAACAAGATACCTTTTTTGAAATCTCCCTTTTTCTTTCTGTGATTATTAGAAATAACAATAATTCATTGTAGTCCTCCATAAGTCTAAAGTTTGATAAGAACAGTAAAATTCAAGCTGTCTTATGGATGTTTAAAAATATTTGTTCAGCTCCATTCACTTACAGTTCA